AATTGTGAGCTATATTATTACTTAAGGCAGAAAACGATTTCTATCAAACTACACCACTATTAACAACACTGATCGCTTGTATGATTCCTTTGTAGAGTCATTAGGTTATTTTGAAGTAGGAAACATGATAAAATAAGCAGTGCCCTCGCCGGGACTAGAACCACGCTCCTCTCGAATATGTGTCGAGCGTGCGAACCACTACACCACAAAGGCATGTTAAGGAGACGGGAGAAATACCTTATATATTTCCCCTTTTAAAGGGCGACTGGGGATAAGGGTACTCAATCGCCAAATCCTGGTGGTGGAGAATCGTCATCCACCACCTTTTTGTTCAGGCACCTCTGTAGAGGCATTAGGTAATTTTTAAAAGCAGTAGACATGAAAAATAAGCAATACCCTAGCCAGGACTTGAACCCCGGACCTCTTGAATACGCGTCGAGCGTGCTGACCACTACACCCCGAAGGCATGTTAAGAAGGCGGGAGAAAAACCTTATATCTTTATCCCACAGAAGTAATTGCATTGCAAAATATTTTCGTCACCTTATACTTCATTGGGAAAAAATGGCTTCTCTATCTCTCTCCCGTCATAAAAAAATTCTGCAATATTTATCACATCTGCATGTAATAAATGGAACAAAATACTGCATACAAATTTATAATGTTATGAAAGATATCATTTTTCACATTTCGATATGTGTTCTCATAAATATTCGTGCAAGACTTAATTAATTTTGGATTGTGGTTTGTTTACTTATTAGGTTTTTTGATGCTAGAGACGTGAAAAATGAGCAATGCCCTCCTCGGGACTCAAACCTGAACCTCTCCAATAGGCGCCGAGTGTGCTACAGTTACACCAGGAAGTGATGCTGGAAGGAGGGAGAAAATACCTTATAGGTTCATGTAATACATTTATGGTTGCATATACTCGAGTCACATGCATTTTCGGAGTACTGGAGGGCTCAGATTTCTTCTTTTACTTCATTTTATTGCTGCTTAAGCGTAATTTTACTTCATTTTATTGCTGCTTAAGCGTTTTATTGCTTAAGCGTAATTTTATGCAAAGAGATGTGACGATTATGTGAATATGTGAGAAGTTGTATATAGGTATATATTCATTTTAGTAACATTCATGAATATATAGTGATCCCGTGACACAAATATTTTAATGCTTGCTACATATTAGGCGCAGCGTTTCTCAAACTATGGAGTCGCATAAACTTAATTCCGATATGCGAATTTAAAGAAATTACATCAATGAGATATTTAAAGAAATTAAACTAATTGACATTAATGAGATTAATCATCTGTCATGTTAGGACCAAAAGAAACTGAGCTATTGAATGATTCAAACTTAAAATCTGAGTTTCCACAAAATGCTTCACTGAATTCTGGATCGGAGAGCTTGCTGAATTCCGGATTGTGGGAACTAAATTTCCCCCAATTTCTAAAATTACCTTAAATGTTCTTGTGCCATTCAGCATTTATAGACCATTATTTATCATTTCAGGTCTTGTGCCACCATCTGTACCTGATTATTATAGCACATCCTTAATATAACTCTATGCCTAACATGTACCATAATAGTGAAAAGTGTTCCGCTTAGTCTCAGCAGTCCCCTCCATGCACCTTCTTTCCATGTTCTGGTCCTTATTCAATGTTCCTTGTTTAGCGTGGCCAATTCCCGGAGGACACAATACTAAGCTCTTTATTTATATTTATTTATGTATTTAATTCCATCGACAGGATCCAACAGGCTGAAAAGTACCTAACCCAAAGGGCCAGCCGTTCCGTCGATGGCGAAAAGAAAGAAAGGTCTTGTGCCATTCAGCATTTAAAGATTCAGCACTTTTGTGAAACGACTTATTCAGCTTCAACGTTCATCAAATTCCAAATTCGTTCAGTGCTGAAAAATGTTGATGATGCTTTGCGTCAAGCAACGTCGCCAAATATCGCACCAAGATTTAATTTGTTATGCAGCAAAAAACGAGTACGTCTCTCTTAGTAAAACTTGATTTGCTTTCATTAATTTTTGTATACTTGAAACAAATCCTAAAACTATTATTTTCCATATGCGTATTGTTTACCAAAAAATAAATTATAGTGCGAAAATATTTGTATTTATATCTTTGTTCTGTATTTAATACTTGGGATTGCGAAAAAAACTCGATTGTAAAAATGGGTCATGGATGAAAAAAGTTTGAGAAGTATTAGTGCATATTTCAGATTGAAAATACGTTAACTCTGTTAATATATATCATCAATATATAAGGTATTCCTCCCACCTTCCTAGCATGCCTTCCTGGTGTAGTGGTTCTGCACGCTGGGCCGGTATTTCCAGAGGTCCGTGGGTTCGATTCCTGGAGAAGGCGTTGCTAATTTTTCATCTTGCCTGCTTCCTAATGTCTTTACAGTGGCGCCCGAACTAAAAGGGTGGTGGATGATAATCTCCCTCCCCCAGGATTTGGCGATTGGGTCCTCTAAAAACCTCAGTCACCCTTTAAAAGGGGGAGTATATAAGGTATTTCTCCCACCTTCTTGGCGTGTCTTCGTCGTGTAGTGGTTCTGCACACTAGGCCGGTATTCCAGAGGTTCGTGATTCGATTCCCGGCGAAGGCGATTGCTAATTTTTCATCTCTCCTACTTCCAAAATGCTTAATGTCTCTATAAATATATTAAGCATCTTTACGATATAGGAATTAGAATTAAGTGAAATTTACTCATGATTCTATAACCTTTTATGTTCAGCAAAAAATGAAAATTTTGCATGCAGTGCAAAAACAGGTGTAATGAGCGTAATTTTGGAGACTTTTACAATAAAACTCAGTTCATTATAATATCTATAAATATGCGAATATTAATTAGACAAAATGCAAAACCTCTGCACAGATTAAACAAAACTGATCAACCGGCAGACATTTAGGACATTTAGGTCATTAGACATTTAGGACTAACATTAATGTAAAAAAAATAATAATAATTGACTAGTTCCCGAACGGTAAAATCGCTGAACACTGGTAGTTAGACCCGGTGAACGAGCTAGCTGCATGAGTCCTTTTGTGGTTTTTCTAATGTGTAATATGGATACCAGTTAGTTTTTGAAAAAGTGCTCCAAAAATGCATCCCTTCACTTAAACAGACAGCCCTAGTGTACTTTGCCATAATTAAACAAATCCATATCTTCTAATGTAGCTACCACCTGACATGTTTCGTGATAACTAACGAATCAACATTCAAACGGTTTCCTGCACGTTGTACATGAAAATAATTAATGAACCTTTAAGAAGACAAATAAACTAAAATAAAACAAGATTTAATTTTTACTAAAAGAATATGCAGATAACAGTGAAAGGAAATCCTTTGCGCTCATAAATTTAAATATACATTTAAAAATTTTAAGGCCTTAAAAACACATGTCAGCGATGCTATCGTTATGCGCAGATTTGTAGGTTCTTTACTTTGTATCATGATATTTTGGACAACGATGTTTTAAAGTGAGATATTTTTTAACAATCTTATTTTTGACGACGGTGTTCTATACCACGATATTTTAGAACTGCCATGTTTCTCCTTGCTTTCTTTTCTCCCACGATGTGTTATACGACGCCGTTTTCGCCTTGCGTTGTTTCCTCTACGACGTTTGCGTTCCCTATGTTTTCGCCTATAACCATTTCATGCAGGGTAGCATCATTTTGCTGAGTGTTATGAGGCTATGAGGCAAAATTCTGGCTAAGACGAAGCAATATATTATTCATATATATATTGGCAGTCCTTTTGATTATACACTCTGAACTACTGGACTCAATCCAAAGTTTTCCTTCGAAAACATTTCTAGTCATTCGCTTTGAAGACGAAATTTTCTTAATGGATAAACAATGAAGAAGTTACGAGTTTTAAAGTCTGTTCAGTGATATTTTGTCAAACAGGCAGATTTTCGAACTATGAAAACTTATCATGCAACAGCAATAAAATATATTCCAGAACATAAATTGGTTAAGAATGATTTATTATGCGTAGTATGTAGATTATGCTTTAATACGCTTTCAGCCATTAAAAGTATTTGTATAGAGTTATTCTAGACAGAGATTAATTGTAAGTTTTACATTCTTACGATAAGTTAAATTACATCTTATCTTGATTATCAACATATCTTGATATGTAGCAGTATCCGGTATATATGATTATTCGGCATTATTAGTGTCAGAAACTTACCAGATTATCAAACCTTTATTGTACTATCAGCAGTATAGTATTGTTCATAATACTAAAAAAGTACTTCTAGAGCTATAAAAGCTCTTATGAGTATGAAATATTTCTTTTATTTCTAGTTGTATTTTAGAGGGTACCTTAAGTTTTGATATTGGTGTTAACATTTTAATGGCTTTACTGACTTTAATGGCTTTAAAACGTACTTTTCAGCTCTAAAGTTTCTGATCTTTACGTTAAGCCACGCACTTATTAAGTTTTCCAGAGCAGCAGATTCAAGCTATTAAATGCGTGTATAATATTAATTAAGGTTACGGGGCCACAAGATCTGCTCTTCCCGACCAGAAATCTTTGAACAGGTGACGTCATTGACTTATAGTCTGCAGAAAAGCAATTATTCCCCACTCCTTCCGTTTCTCCTTCCAAGTGACTCGAGAGTTGGAAGGAGCATTGCCTTGTTTGTCTGCTGATCTTGAACCTAGGTATATGTATTTAAGTACCTGGGATATCGTTACTCAGAGCATTTTTAAATCATAGTCTAATGATGAGAAAGTTTACAATCTAGACTCAACGTTAACATAAAGTAGCATGTTTCTTTCATTACCCTGATCTATTTAATTTTATATTATGGATATAGTAAATCTTCTATAATATATCACATGTATAACAGATAAATAAAAAGCGTTATTTTGTTTCTTCCGTCTTGGCCCAGTATATAAATTTTACTGTTTATTTCCCATGCGTATTTCTTTTTTTGTAAATCTTTGCTTGAAATTGAAGTTTTTCAACCTTACAGATGAAAGCATTCTTACTTTGTGTGATGGTCCTGTTTGGAGCTGCCTGTTCATTTTTTTATGATGTTTCCGAGGAGTGTATAGTTGAAGACGAAAATTTAAACTGCATCTGCCACAATCGTGAAAGCTTCACATTAAGCGCCTCCTTGCTCTTCGATATCAGACATATAACTGTCAAAGGCTGTGGCACAGTTGATGTTCCATTCGGTGCTCTGAATTATCTACAGTTGAAAACATTTCAAGTTTTAGATGTCGAAATCCTGGTTATTAACCCCTTCGCTTTTATGGAAGTTAAAGCAATTAATTTCTTTAGGATATCAGATGTCACTAAGTTTAGTTTGAAAGAACATGGTTTTATAGGATTGCTTAACGTCAATGAACTAATCTTTAATAATATTACAGCCCCAGAACTATCGCCGTACTCTTTAGGTTTCGTATCTAACATACAACATTTCCTCATTGAAAATTCTCGCTTTGCTCATTTGGGTGATTTCTCTTTTGTTCTCACAAATGTTTCTACATTTAAAATTATTAATACTAAATTTCAAGAACTAAGAAACAACACTTTTAAAATAATAAATTCAGAAGAAGTAGTTTTTGAAAACTGCTATTTTAAAAACACTAACCAAATGAGCTTTTCGCTGTCTGACATAAACACAATTAAATTTCAAAGCTGTGAGTTTGGAATCGTATCCAACTCAGCAGTTGTAACTAATGACGCAGAAACTTTCATTTTTAAGAATTGTTCCATAGATAGATTAGAAAGAGGAGCATTTGAATTCTTAGAAGTTTCAGAAAAACTTATTTTCACTTATAACAAGATCAAAATGGAAAATGCTTGTGCAGTTCTGCCGAGTGTAATAAGCAACATATCGATGAACTTAAATGTAGAAGATTGTTGCAATAGTTTTCAGTGTTGCAACTGTGCTAATTTTTGGATATTGTCTTCAGAATATTCTCCAGTTGATGATGTCCTTCTTCAGCAAAGAAATTGCATTGATGACATGTCTATGAACGATATTACTTCCTTTCACACTAATGACACCTCAATTAAATGCATAGATTTTGAATTAAAGTCTGTTCAACATAAGGCAGAATTTCCATCTAAAAAAGCATCAGTTTATAAATCAAAGGGACTTAGCTTGAACTCGTCAGTGACAAATTTATTTACGCATTTACTTTTGTTCTTTATTTCACTAAGATACTTCATAACGTGAATAACCTTAAAACTTATAGAAAGTTTCAAGTGTGTAAAATTTAGTGCTTATTTTTGTGCTCTTAAAACAGGTAAAAAAGTGTTTTTATCATCACTAAATATCCATTTTTACTGCTAACGAAGGCAATGAGCTTATATGTCTATGTCTGTATTTAAGATGAAATGTGTTTTATTAATATTTTCAGTACGATTATATCAGGACTGTTAAAAATATTTGAAATGTCATATAAATCACGCAGGTAGTGTTTTATAAATACGTGTATAAAATTACAGCTTTGTGGTAATTCTGTAATTATAAATCTTTATGGTTTACACGAAATCTGAAATTCACTCTCAATATGTATATCTACGTAAGATGCTTCAGAAACGTTTCATGTCTAAAGTTTCTTGATTCAGAAATATCCAAAAACGAAAATATTTTCAAACTGCAAAATCCATGAATTTTGGACAAGAAATGGGTTAAAAATTGACTCAGTTTTCTTATATAATAACTTCGATGTTTATTTTTAATATTCTGCTATAATGTTTTCTTTCATAAGTTAATGTTAAGAGTATCTGAAATAAAGTTTTTTTCGCACTGAGTGATATGTATATGACATTGAATAAAGTTATATTTATGATACTGAACAAAATATCTCAAGTCTCATTTAAAATGGAAGAATTTTAAGTACGTGAATTGTGTTTATACATTTGGAATCATTCCCAAAAATATATTTATGTATTCACTTTTCTGTACCTCACTAATACTGTATTTGGCGGCATATAAGACGCACATTTTTTCCTAAATTTGGTCTCAAAAAAGTTACCTGCGTCTTATACGTGAAGGACACAGTCTTAAACGCGAAGGTAATTGCATTCAATAATTGTTTATTTGGCTTTTACGAAACGTGAGAACTAAAAGAAACCACGTTATTGAAACTTTTTTTCCTTGTGTGTGGCTGTCTAAATAAGAGTGCGTCTTATGTGCCAGTGCGTCTTATATGCCGTCAAATACGGTAAGTGACGTGATTTCTATGTAAATACAAAGTGCGTCTACAAAGTTTTAGGACAAAATTCGAGCAAAATCAAAGACTAGTGAAAAAAAACATTTTTATTTCAGTATGCAATCCATGCAAGTCTGAACAATACTACTTGATTCCCTCGTAGAACTCACATTTTTATAATACTGTAATTCTCTGATTACTGTTTTCTGAATTTCTGCAGTGCTATTGAAATATTGACCTGTGAGATAAGCGTGTGTTTAGGGTATGTAAAGTAGATTTTAAAAGACAAATCTTGGGAATAAAGGTTTTGATCGAGGTAGCTCACTATTTTCATTGCTAGAAACTGCTTGACGAAATGAGATTGTCTGGCAGTACATTATGTCTTCGTAAAATATGGAGTTCACCGCCTAGCTCTCGGCAGCAAGTTTCTTGGGAATTATTCCTTTCCAATCGCATCAGTTATCAACATGGGTTTACTCGATTATTGCTGAAAACCGACGTTTTTGTGGTAGTAGTAAACTTTCTCCAAACAACCCATTCATACGATTGCCGTTTTACTTTAGCATCATGTGCAAAGCACCAAATTTGATTTTCAGTCACAGTTTGTTAAAAAAAAAAATCAGGATTAATGTCTGCCGTTTGGATTAAATCAGAAAATGTAGAAATTTGATCTTCTTTCTGTTCTGCAGTCACTGTGCAAGGGTCAAAACAAGAACCTTTTCTTTCCACAATTATCCTAGTTGTCGAACCCTGTTGGTGCTCTCATCATTTCGGAATGCCGAAGGGCAGCTATTTTCCCAGGTTTATCATCAATATCTTCTTGTCCATACCAAAGAAAAGATACTGAATTCTGTGAATGCTTGATCCCGTATACTTTACAAAAAATTTTCAACATATTAGTTGTCATTTCTTCTTCTTTACTGCAAAACGTTATTGCTTCTTTTCTCATCTTCGAGTATATGACAACGGATTTTCCCTGGTGCAAAGCAAATGATTAATTCCTTTGCAAATTTTGTTAACAGTCTAGTAATATTTTAGGAAAAGCAAGTTAAGATGTAATATATACTGCCAATTACCGTTTGGTGGGTTTGCTGGTGTTTGTTTAAAAATTAGTTCTAAAACTTTATTGACACACTGTGTATATAGTGCTTTGTAATTCTATATATGTCATGTAATTAAAAGAACTTGAAGTTTTGTTCGTCCTCTCTTAATTTAAATTAACATAAAAAACATTTCTTTGAAAAAGCTACTCTGTCAGTCTTGAGAGTTATGACGCTACCTAGCCTGTTGTTATTATGAACTGAAACCCTTTTGCAAAAGATAGTCAGGCTCAGCTACTTCCAGTTCTTCAAAATGAACAATCTCAGACCTTCAAAATAAACAAAATTATACGGCTTTCATCAAACTTCATTTTACACATTCGAGTTTACGTATTTCCTTTTCTATTATGGCGTATGTTTGAAATTTATAACTAAAACAAACACCGTTGACATAATCCGCCTTTAATTTGCACAAAAAATCGTGTACAAAGGAAATGTGTACAAAGGAAATCTGATATTCTGAATATGCTGAAGAGAAATTTGGTTTCTATTCCCTGAAATACTGGAAATGTTTGTCATAAAGTTCGGCAGTGTTATTTATGATGAAGTAATTATGTAGAAAGATTTACAAACTGCAATAAAATAAATAAATAAGAGAGTACTGTCCTAGTTAAGGGAACTAGTTAAAAAAACTGAAGGGGACCAGGTCTAAGAAAAGCTTTGAATAATGAAATGTTTTCTCGAAAAATAACGTTATTTTATTGGTCAAATAGCTTCGGCTTTGGTTAAGCAAATTATATAACAGTCACTAAAATCGAAGGTTTGGTTTGTTTTATTTGATTATGACAAAGCACTCAAGGATTACCCTTAGATGGGCGGGATGCCTTCGTAGTGGATTTTTAAGGGAAATGAGCTCGTATACACGTTACACAAGGGAAAAGCCGCAAAAATCCCCATTCAGCCAGCCCATTCGCAAGATTCGAACCTCTGAGCAAACTACCAGTGTTCAGCGCTCGGTTGCTGATGTGCCGCTTTAAAATCTAAGGAAGATGACTTTCTGACACTTAGAATGAGAAAAACAAAGCTAGAAATTTTGATAAATAAAACGGTTATGGATATTTAGAATAAAAATTTCAGCTTTCGTTCAAAAAGTTTTTCCGAACAGACACACACATATATATATATATATAAATAAAATAAAATAAAATAAAATAAAAATAAAAATAAAAAAAACCCGAAAATTACCATGTTAAAAATAAAAAAGACGTCTAAATATCAGAAACAGAGTCTCGTTGAGTTTTATTGATTGCTGTATAGTTCTACATTCTGAAGTTCTACAACATTAAATTTCTTTTTTCGATAGACGTTTTCATTACTTTGAACTTGATATGGCATGGCTCTTCTTTACTTTCTTATTTTAAAATTCAAGTTACAAATCTTTTACTCCTCGACCTTTTTAGCGTGGTTGTTGTTGCCATTTGATGTCTATGAATTTTTACAGAAAAGTTTTTAACATTTATAGTATTTGTTTGAAAATCTATAATTTCCTTTATTCATCTTTTGAGTTTATTTAAAATTCTCTCACATAAAAGTCGAATTCCTTAAAAGAAAAAATTCTTCGCCTTAAGAAAGTTATTAGTAATAGAATTTTACAAATCTTTTGTTTTACCGTATATATGCACATAATGAGTACGTGTGTACATATAAAGCCCTGCATAAACACTGAATAACATCCCTGTAAAATCAAAAAGCTACAATTTATTTAGTGGAAACATATTCCAAATTTAAGGACGTTTCTTTCCCTTGATACACGTTACGTGCGGTTCATCATTTCCAGTACTGAATTTAATCATTGATCACAGAAAACACAGAGAGATGAAATTAAAGAAATAAAACATTTATTTATAAAACATTTTTTCACTCCAGACAGCTTTTTATATACACAGTTAAATACACTTAAATATTTTTATTATCCCACAAATTTATGTGGTTCAGAATAAAAATATCCGGTTTCTTACCGAATGAAGAAACCTTCATTTAATCAAGAGTTATTCACGTTTTGGCGATACACCCCATCCAAAGATATAGTAGAAAACAGTTCATTGTTTTTCTCTTTATTATTAAAAAGGCTAGGTGCACTTTTTCTCCTTATTTCCGATAATCTAACTAGTGGCAGTGATGATGCTTTGGTCTCTCTTTCAGTCTGAAATACATAAAAGAATTATTCATTGAAGATGAAATTTACTGTTAATACATTTTTACCTGAGCAAAAATTTTAGGTAAGCAGCTATGTAGCTTACTTTATTCGCAAATTTTTTATTAGCGTAATCAGTTATGAGTTTCAGTGTTTTCTAATGGACTGCGAACTTTTATCGGACATAAAGACATAAAAATCCTTTTATAGATTTTTAATAGAAACTTGATGATAAAGAGTACACGAGGAAGATAAAAATAATGAAAATTATAACATATGTTCTAATTTGGTAATTTTCGATAAATGTTTCCATGTTTAATCGCGTGTAAATGCTTTAAGTATTTAGTTACAAGAGATGCCTTTAAAAAAAAAAACTACGTCACCAGCGGTTAGATGATTGATACTACTAGCACTTTCATGGCACTACGATTCTCAGCTAAAAGAGCTGTTTGCTATTTCTAATTTAAGCAAAACTTCAAAATACTTACGAGTTTGAATACACTTTTAATGTAATATGCACTCTAAACTTCTGCTAGCTGAGAACTTGTTTAATTTTTAGCCACTTTATCATACATTTATGTTTCTTATAAAATTCGGAGAAAGCAATTATTTTAAACCAATTATTAGCAATTATTTACAAACATTTTTGGGGAAAGAGCATGCTGCAATGTTTTGTGTCTCCAGATTTTCAATAAATGATCTACATTGCTTTCTGTATTGATAACGAATAATAATAACAAATCATTTTAAATTATATCACACAGCGTATAGCCTCAGTAATAAATGTTGCGACATGTTTAGAATTAAGGCAGAATTGTATCTTGTGGCTCAAGGAGGCTAGAGCATTCTAACTTCTCTGCCAAAGATGGAACCAATACGTCTTTCATATACCGTTGTTACCTTGGATTAAAATTTTACCTTCTAAAGTACTCTTGTAGTTGAAATAACTGGTTGTTATCGCCGGAACAGACATAAAAAAAGAAGATACTTTAGAAGACGAGATTACTAGCCAGTACAAAAATAGTTGAGCGCACTACATGAGACCACAGTTTTCAGTTACACCTTTATTATTATTTCGTAACTAAATTTGTGAATAGAAACTGCATGTGTTTTGGAGTATGCCGTTTAATATTATATTAAATTTAGCAAAAACAGTACATTTCTATTACTTAAAACTGATGACGATTATTGTGTTTTTCACATAATCGTTCCACTTACATTATGGAAAACAAAAATCTGCAAAAGTATGGAACCTATACACGAAGAGATACAAATTCAATATTTGAAATATCGTGCAGAAGCTAGGAAACTAGAGATTTTAAGTATGTTCTTCATACTTGCATTAAAACATCGAAATTAATCTGCACTAGCTCTTTTTAGTTCATAATTCTCTATAATAATTTAGTGAATAGAATTTAAAGTATAATTTCATAAAAATTACATTTCGTTCAAACTATTAAAAATTAATGCAAAATACATAGCTTACAATTTTCATCTTTGGGTCACATTTCCAGAGATTATAAAAAAAAGGAGTCATCAAATTCTTTTCTATGTCATACTTGTTACTACCTGTAATATAAAACCATAGAAAAAGTTCAGTTGTAAATGCATTTCATTTTAGATACTAAATTGATAAGATTTTTGGGAAAATACAATGAATAGCACAGATTTAGAATCCACTTAGAAAACCAAAAATAGTTTCTGAAATTATAATGACTAACAACAGTCTTTACAATAACAGTAAAGAGTCTGGGCTGTTTATAATTAAAATTCAGCATCTTGCTTTAATTTCTGTATAATACCAAAATCTTATGCCTTTTTTACTCTGCATTACTTTCGTATTACATTTTTACGTTACTACTTCTACATACTTTATTCATAAGTATTCATTCTTTAATATATCATAAGAGGTAATTTTGCTGTGGACTATTAACTTGCATATGTGCTAAGAAAAGTGCTTTGAAATCAACAGGAAATCGAAAAAGTAGTAAACCACCAACAAAAGAGCGATAATTACTGAGGATTTTTTAAATCGATATATCTTATCATACTGTTGCAAAGCGATGCTCTTAATTAAAATTATTTTCCAATTAAAAAAGAATTATTATCGCAATATTATATTATAATAAGTCAAGAAATTATAATTTAAATATCTTTATTCAAAAAAATAATATTTTAAATTTTTAAATAAAGTTCTTAGTCTTTTCATCATGAGCTCTTTAGGAATAAAAGATGAGCTTTAAGTTGACCTTTGATGAGACATGTACATCAATTAACACATAAATTTTATGAAAGCTTACCAATAACTAAAGAAACTATTAGTCCTACGACTATAACTACAATGCATCCTATTCCACTATACCAAAGGTAGGAGAGTCTATATATAGGAAAAACGTCGTCGCTAGAAAAAGATAAAAAGTAGTATTAATTCCAAAATATGCATCCACAAACAGTTCTTAACTTAGTAAATCATAATGAATATAAGCCATAAATACTTACTTTTTTGTGTGTAAGATAAAAATATGTAAATCAGCTTTATACTTTAATTTAGCAACAGCCTCTTCATTCCTCATTTTTAATTTGGATAGTGCCTCTCTATTCTAAAAATAGTTATAACTTTTCTGAACTGCGTCATTTATAGATTAGTTTTTAGTTTATGTCACATGGCTTGCATAACTCTGATGACGTAGCTAATTCGGAAACTGAATTCAAAATTTCAACGGCTGAAACCTTGTTCTTAATAAGACACCTAAACCCAAACCTTCTGTTGATGAACCTTCATACTCGATAACTGCCCACTTTTAACTTCGCCTTACTTCCTGTTAAGAAGCTATTTCGCTCTGTTCTCTTCTTATCGCAACAGTATCAAAAATATAAATAAATGTTCTTGAATAGGCACAATTAGAGTGCCAAGCAAATTGTGGCTGCTAATGTCAGTTGAAATAAAGCTGGGTATTTAATCTTACTCTGCTGTCGATTTTCCTCTTCAATATGGATCTACGTTCTACGTCATCAACTTTGCTATGTCTTTATCATCATCATATATATATATATATATATATATATATACAATAAAACCTTCAGTTTTAGATCTAAAATTGTGTTACTAACGACTTATTAAAAAGAAAGTTCCAGAATTCACATCTGAACCGTTAATTAGGAAACTAACTACTTAAGGTTCTTAACTAAATTATTCCTATTTATAGGTAATCGAAATTTTGCTGTTTGTTAAAAAACTTGAATAACAGGCAAATAACTTTATTATACGAAATTTAACCATGTGATGAATTTTACAAAAATCAGGAGTCCATATAGCCAGGTAAAATTAATAACGCAGTTATTTTGTTTAGGCAATCCCAAATAATATTATGTTATAATGTTAAACTTAATTTGGTTTAGTCTAAATATTAGAATAAATTCTTAGACTGTAAAATAAATTATCACCCTTTCCTTACTCTTCAATAACAGAACACTAAACAATTACAACAACTTAAAACAACTAAAGGATTTGTTGAATTTCAGTTTCAAATTATAGAACTAAACATTAATAAAATTAACTTACGCCTCTCGTGGGCTGGACTAATAGTGATTCAAAGTTTAAAGCCCAACAACCTAGCAGCTTGGCTCTGTTATTATATAACTGCAAACTAAATTTCAATCAAAGCTATCCGACAACCTGCAGCAACGACATTAAGACATACTATATTAGCAGAGGAGTTTTATCACTGCAGGCTAAAATTTTCTGGCCCTTCTCTTAAACTTAGGTTTATGCTCTTGTTTAAATTTCATTTCAGTTATGCATTCTGGTGGAACAAACGAAATAATAAAAATTGAGGAAAGTGTCAATGTAAGAAAAAGCATGTCTGAATATGTAACAAATAACATAAACCTTACATTCAGGCTCCGAAAGCATATGTTATTAGAGTTATTTACTACATTAACTAAAAATACGTGATTAGCAGGTATTTAGAAGGTACCACCTCAAATCAAATAAATCATAAAAACCTATTTCTGTTATTTAATAGGATTTCGCTCGCTATTTTTTTAATCGTGCATGAATATATTCAAAAAAGGAACTGCACACTTTAAGATTCACGAACTTTGTTCAACACGGTTGAATATCATCATTTTCTGTAACAGCAAATCCCAGTTAACCGAAACCTGGCAAAATCGCAAAAATGTTAGGAAAAAGCAATAAATCATTGAGTTCGAAAGTCAGTAGTATTCAGTTTTCTTAAATCAACTTTTTATAACTGCTTTATTCTTTAAAAGCCGATACATATTTTTTAATGAAAGCAGGTCATTTTGTTATATGTTACTTAAAAAACAATGAACTATGAGATTTCATTGTAAGAGATGACTTTCCTGTGTGGTGCTGATAAAAAGGCAGCGAGATATACCTGCTCACATTGCGAGAAAAACTTCAAGAGAACGCTTATTATTTTAAATTGGGTATTTAAACGTATTACAATAAATAACTTTGCTTCAAAAAGTTATTCATATAGTTTTTGATGAATTCTAACGTTAGGAATGGAGACAAATAAATAAGCAGAGATTCATCTAAATTAACATATATTGAAATACAAAAATGGCACAAGTACAGTAAATTCTACATGGTAAAGTAAAACAGTGACAACAACTAAATAAAACGTTGCCAAGAGAAAAATATAAAAATCAGTGTTGCCACACATGTTGTAAAATACAAATGGGAAATATAATCATAAATTAAAAGTTATTTGCAAGCACTCCCCCTTGATTAAATTTCCCTCAGTCCTACACTGAACCTTTGATTGAACAAGGCTTTCTTTTGCACACTCTTTGTCAACATGTCTGCTGCATTTGAACTAAGAAGGCACACATAGGTAAAGTTCAACAACTTCTCTTCAACCTTTTCTCTCAAGAAAAAATGCCTGAGTTCAATATGTTTGTTACGCTCTGTGAAGTGACATGGTTTTTAGCTAAAGAAATGGCACCCTGATCATCAACAAATAAGTTTTGTGGAAAGTTTAAAAAATTGTTCTCCCACAATTTTCTTTAAAAAAATTTTGGAACCACAATGTACTTCCTTGGCTGCATGGCACATTGAGAGGTACTCAAGCTTCAACTGTTGACAATGCAGTCGTCTGTTGTTTCTTACTGCTCCATGAGACAGCTCCTGTCTGCTAGTAACATACCACATAAGCCACTAAATGATCGTCTATCAAACTTATCACCAGCCCAATCAGAATTACAGAAGTACACTTCCAAATCCTTTCCAGTCTTTTGGAAAGTCAGCTTTAATTCCGGAAATGTCTGTTTTAGGTAAACGAAGGATATGTTGTATGTCAGCCCAATGTTCCTTGCTTGGGCAATTATTGAATTGGCTCATGTAAGTAGTAGCAAAAGCTAAATCCGGACCTTGTTCCTCCTGCTAGGTACAAGAGCCCTCCAACAAGCCTGCCTATATTTTAATGTCCTTCTTCGGCATTCAACATGTTATCCTTAGTAGTTGTTGCATATTTCATACCTGGATCTAATGGTGTTGATGCTCCTTTAGCATCTTGCATATTGGTTGTTTCCAAGAGTTCACTAGCATAGACACTTTGGTCAAGAGTCACACAGCTATCTTCCCTTCTGCTTATCCTAATTGAAAGAAGGTGATGTATTTCTCCCAAGTCTTGATTTTAAATGTAGCTGCAATATTATCCTTAAATTCCTGAATGATGAATTCTTTGCTGGACATTACAAGAAGATCATCCACATACACACCTACAATTAACTCCTTTTCTTTATTGAAGTAAACACAAGGATCTGCTCTGGATCTTGTTAGGCTCGTTGATTTCAGAAATTTATCGAGGCACATATTCTATTCTCTCCCAGACTGATGAAGTCCATAAAGGCTTCTCTTTAGCAAGCAAACTTTTCTGTGTGTTTTCTCATGCAGACTCACGGGTGGCTGTTCCATGAAAATTGTCTCACTCAGTCTTCCATTTAAATAGGCTGCTATAATATCAAGTTGATGAACCTGCCAGTCTTGCTCAACTGAGAATGCTAATAAAGTTCTAATTGATTTTGTTTTTATTACAGGAGAAAACGTCTCTTTGTAGTCAATTCCTTCGACTTGGGTGTAGCCACGAGCAACTAAACGAGCTTTATATCTTTCCACTTGTCCATCTTTGTTAAGTTTTCTCTTGAAGACCCACTTACTTTCACAACTTCCTTCCCTCTGGCCTAGGCACTATGTCCCAAGTTCCATTTAGTTTTAAATTTTCCAACTCTTCTTCCATGGCTAACTTCCATTTTTCTGCATCGGGACTAGTTAATGCCTCTTCTAAAGTTTCAGGATCATTCTGGAAAGCTTTCTTGGGTGTTGAGCCTTCATATTTCGTTTCTCGGATTGTCAGCTGGCACTGCATTCCACTTGTAATTCCATTTATTTCTGGAGGATTTTCTCATAAAACTCTGAATTTTCCATGATATAATCCTTTGTCCACTTAGGCGCTGAAATTTGTCTTCTGGGTCGAGTCTTCTTTTCTATTATATCTTCCACCTCCTTCTTTCCCTGTTGAGGGCCTTCGTCTATTACTTTATTTTCAATTTCATCATCTTGAGATGAATTTCTTTCAGAAACTTGTTGTGGGTGCAATGTTATAATGTTTGCAGTCATGGAAGGTTTCTCTTCAAATATGACATCTCGGGAACAGATTACTGTACTGGTTTCTTTGATGTAAATGCGGTACCTTTCATCTCCATCATACCCAAGGAGATAGCCTTTAGTTGCCCTTTTGTCCATCTTTCTCCTCTTCTGAACTGGGATATGAGTACAGCAAGTCGATCCAATGATGCACATGCGTTTTATTCTGGGTTTCTTTCCCATCCATAATTCATAAGGGCTTGAATTAGGAACTGAAGACTTGCCTGTTCTATTCAATATATAAATTGAAGTACTGACGAACTCTGCCCATAGGAAAGCTGGAAAGCCCACTTCCTCATTCGAGTATTTGAAAGTTCTGGCCATTTCTAGGACTGTTCTGTTCTCTCGTTCAGCACTGCCATTTTGTTCTGGTGTATATGGAACTGTGAGCCTCTGGGAGATTCCATGCTTGTTCAAGATCTTGCGAACGGCTTGGTTGTCAAATTCTCCACCGTTGTCACTGAGCATTTCTTTAACCGTATGCCCTAAGTTCTTAGCGTGATCTATGAAATTTTCAAGCACATCTTTTACTTCTGATTTGTGCTTTAAAGAAAAAACAGTATCGAAATTTGGTGTAGGCATCTTTGAAAATTGCAAAGTAACGGTATTTCCTAAATGACTGATCAAATGGCCCACACATATCTGCTAGAACAGTTCTCCAGCTTTGTAACCGCTTTCCTGGTTCCAAATTAAACGGTGGGATTTTTCCGATACACAAGCTTCACATAATCTCATATCAGACTTAATCTTAATATTCAACTCTTTCTCTACAATGGCCTTTACATGCTTTTATCTTGGTGACCCCATCGTCATGATAAAGTTGGAGAGTTGATTCATATTCTCAGTCATGTTGATGTCAATGTGATTTCAGGAACTAAGTCTTCATCACGGCTTTGAATAGACCACCACCAGCATTTCTTGTTCCATGCAGAACTATTTCACACCATCTATTTTTAAAAAGCAGTCCTTAAATGTTGATTCAAACACACTGTTTTGATTTCTATCTTGAGATGCTAACACGGAAAATAGATTTTGGCTTATTTTTCTGGAACATACCAGACTTTTCAAGATTTTTGATTTGATTCATCCCATTTACAATGGTCATTACCTTGGGTGCCTTTTCCAATGCTGGTAATGACTTTTCATTTGCACAGTGATGCTATGAGGAAGCTTAAATCTTTGAAGTCTATAAGTAGTGCCTGTTATGACGACATGCTTCGAGGCCGCATTATCAAAAACCAATAATCAGAATTCGTTTTGCAGAAAATATTGTATATCTACAGCTAGAAGTGTCATATTTGCAGCAACACTGTTTTTACTTCCCTTGTTTGGCCCTATATGGACTGGGTTTCGGGCGTTTTCCATCAGCTATCCATTCTTGCATTTCTGACCCATGTCCTCTCTGGTGGCAATAATTACACTTGCCATTGTTTCTTGTTAATAGATGATGTCCGCTTAAATTCCGGATTTGCTATCAATGCTTCCTGATCTAAAGTTTCTAAAAAATTTGGATCTTCAGAAAAGGAGAATGTCATTCAGGCATCTATTAACAAATACCTTAGCTATGCAACAGACAAAGCGTTGCAAGCCTTTGCCCTAGTATTACCTTTTTAACATACATACGTTCTTAACCTCCATATCATCATTCAAACAAAGTATGGCGATCTCGGAGACTAATTACAGATCGCAACGGAAAATAGTTCCAAGTATCGGGAAGGAAACCACAAGTATGCCTTTGCATTGGTAGTTACGATGTCTGGCTTCTTCACAAAATGCCTCCGTCGAGCGCAAAGCTTATTTGCGCTGCAGCACCTATAGCGTCTTATTTCCTATATTTACTAATAGATGGCGCCACGAGACAGCAGCTGAAAGAGCTAACTCCAGATCTGCCACAAAAGTAAAGGGAAATACCAACTACAATGCCAAATAATCAAAAGATATTATACCTTAAGCAAAGAATGCCTTAAGGCTTTAAGGCAGTATCACTTTCTCAGGGAAATGACTTTCTCAAAAATGAGATTAAATAAAACTACTTCAATTACTTTCATGAAGGATATTAATTTAAATTAACAGTAATTAATGCTATTTTTTTTCACATAGTCTAACTATTTTCACTCCTTAAATAACTACTAATCTTATTCTTTTCTTCATTGAAGATATTTAATCTAACAAAAATATCTATTTCTGTTCTATTTATATTATTCTATTATATTAAAATTATTTTAAGACAGCGTTTCTCAATTTGTGGTCCTCTTAGGTTTCCAAAACAGGAAAAAGAAATCAACTTAGCTGCGTATAACAATCGTATGTCACTTTATATTTTCCAAGACTGATATTTTATGAAATTTATTATGGGTTACGCTATCTACGCACTTCACAAAAAAGTGCTTGCGAACCAGTGCATCAAACCTGCGAAACTGAAACAGCAGTCGGAGATGAACCACGCAAGTGTAAATGTAAACATGTCGAATTTTTCAACAACGGTTTGAAAAATTAAATGAAGCAATCAAAGATGCTTCTAATATAAGTTCAGCCACGGAAAAGGCCTTAGAAGTTTTCTAATATTTCAAGTCTTCGCATAGTGAAGAGCGAAACACCCCATTCTATAATGTGAAACCTTAATACTTTCAGACGTAAAGGGTATAGTTAAAACAATGTTTAGTGAAAAATTATCTAAGAACATTCATTTAATACCACTCTCAAGCGATATTGTTACATGCCGAATCAATCCATGGCTAATAACGTGGGATTAAGAGGTTGCAGGAAAGAAGGAAGTATATATAGTTTTACCAAAACTTTACTGATTTTTACCTGGGAGATATAGTAGAAGCTGTAGTATTCATATTTAGAAATGATTGTGTGACATTGAAGTAAAGCTCTTGACAAGCTTCTACGGATAGTGGAGCAGTTTGGTGAGGCCTTTTAAACATGATAGATCCGACGCAAATCCACATGCATACTCCGAGGCCACTGAAGAGTCCGGCTAAAGCAGCCTGTTCACAAAAAAAAAAAAAAAAAAAAAAAAAAAGAAAAAGAAAAAAGAAATAAAAAATAGTTTAAAAGCATGTTAAGTTAAGTATCAACAATTTTTATATGATTACAAAAAATATAAGCGTATACGCTCTTGAACATCAGTTCTTCATAATGATCAAATAAATACATTTTGCATCGGTTTTAAAATACGTACTCAGTTGTAAATAACAGATGAAGTGTTACAAATAAGAAAATTAGGGGAAAAGTGAAAATGTACTTCCTAATATAAACACCCCACCAACTCAGACAACAGTTATCGACATATTAATGTATGCAGAAAGTAAAAGTAAAATGGTTTCTTTCTTATTTCTGAAGAAGAAAATTTACAAAACTACAGATACTCACCAGTGGCCGAGCGGTAAAGTCGCTGAACACTGGTAGTTCGGCCCAAGGCTCGAATCCCGCGAACGGGCCGGCTGCATGGGCGTTTTCGTAATTTTCCCCATGTGTAACGTGTATACGAGCCGGTTTCCCTTAGAAAGTCCTCCACGAAGGCATCCCTCCCCTTAGGCAGATAGCCCTCGAGGCTTTGCCATAATCACATACACACAAAACTAAAGAAAAGTCATTTTTCATATAAAGCAAGATTTTTCTAAAAATAAATCTGAAGCACATTATCTGTATAATAACTTCTAATTCCTGAGATTAAGACTACATAAATCAATCATTTCTTTTGTGTTATTTTCTTGTCTCTTTTTATAGAAAGTACTTCTTTTTTCAAAAATATTCCACATTTATTAGCTTTTTAGTTAATAATTATTTCATTGTCAGTTATTCTTCATTATTCATTAGCTAACTGAAATTTTTTTTAAAAAATTAATAATTAATCAGGAACATTTTATAGAACTTGGATTCATTCTCTAAATATGATAGAACTTAATAAAAATAGGAAAAATCATTTAAGAACTGTTTCTGATTTAATTATACTATGCGTTTATTAACCTCTTAAAAGTTAGATAACTAAATTTATACATTTCGTAGATAAACATAAACAGTGAATTGAAAAAATACTCACAAATGAAGACGGCCATGGAAAAAACATTCCAAGAGTATATATTCCCAATATAGGGCCACCGAGTGCACCGCTGATACTTAAGGCAGCCTGAAGAAGAATGAATTCTATAAATTATTTAGCGCATAAAAAAAGTAAGAGAACCAGAATAATATTAAATGTCACTGAAGAAAATTAGAATAAATATCTACAACAGATATAAAATTTTTCTTATTCAATTATTCCATCACAGAAGCCTTTACTTACATCTCATAATATGATGTTGTACGTATGTTATATACTTATAACTCCATTTTTACCTTTTGAAATCCTTCCGTGAAAACAAAAGATATTTTATGATATCTTTACTGTAAGATCATGTTCTGGCCTTTTTCAAAATATAATAATAATAATAAAAAAAAGGCACAAATAATAGGTGTATGATTAACACAAGAATTTAACGATACCAGAAGTCAAACTCGGATTAGAGCAAATTTAGGAGGAAGACATGCCAGTCGTAAAACCATTTTTCCCTCGACTATCATTCGACTAATTAGTGCATAATTAGATGCCTTACAACTGATAATATAGCAAATCATTATGGGACTGCAATAGCCTTCGCTAGATTGTCAGACGACCTCTCGTCCCTTCTGTTACTTAAAATCCAGTAACACAAAGACAACAGTTATCATAAAATCAACTGAAATATTTCTTTGTACTTTGGCCTAAAGTTACAAAATTAAAGAGTCAGCACAAACTTAATATCCACGTATTTCAGACTAGTAATGCAGCACTATTTATTTAAAAAAAAACATATATAAAATTAAAGTCTGGAAACGCGGTATGCATGCCAGTGTCTCTTCTCGTATAACAGCTACAAAGTCAAAAAGCCAATATCTGCCAGCAGTCAGAACAACACTACGGCAAAAAGAATGTGAGAGTTGCAATGCTCCTGAATGGAGTTGCTAATACTCTCTGCCTTTTAAGTTAGATTCTTTCGCATTATTTAAACCAGTTTAATTCGTATTTTCTGGCTGCACTGGCAGAAAATTTTAATGTGAAGGAAAGATTTAATGTAAAAAATAAAGTGTTATTTTGCATGTATTGACAAAAATATTCTGGATTTTGTGTATGTACCTGTTTTTTGTGCTCTCTGTTTATGAATTTTACGCATTGTGCTTTGCGTATTGTTGCCTATGTATTTTTATGTCTTTTTATGCGTACGTCTTATTATGCAAGTATTTTTAGTTTAACTACCTACTATCTGTGACACCACAGCTTGCCTCTTCAATCTGTAATACAATCCTACTAATGCCCTTGTAAGGCCATGTACTTCCCTTTGACAACCTCAATAATCTCCTGGTGCAGCCTCGTGTGGCTCCAGGAAGCTTTTGCCGTAGTTAGAGGAGGGCGTGGAACACATGCCTGTTTACCTCTGTTACACACCAGGCGTTCTGCTCCTCCGTAACCTACCTACCTACCTTTAAATTATTTGTTACCTTCGCTTTTAAAGAAGTGTAAGCCTGATCCTCATTTCCATTAGATTCACTTTTTATCTGATTCTTTCTATTGTTTTGCATGGAATAATTTCAATTTAGGATAGAGCACATACGGTTTGCTGCGGTTTGATATTGAGAATGACGTCAATGTGCAGTTTATAAGTAAAATATATTTAAGGCAATGCCCTGTTTTATTTCATCTAAAAAAACTGTGAATGAAAACAAATGTATAATACTTACTTGCAGAACTGTTCCTGTCATATTTTCCACAATAACCACAAGAATAATAGAAATGATACCGTACAGTAAAGCTAAAAAAGAAGGAAATTTGGTATAGAAAGGTACAACAGTTTCAAAAACCGCTTTTGAGAAGTCAACTTTCTTTAATACTCTATTTAAATAAATAGCTTTGTGTTGCCATGCATTTGCTCTAAAAGCACAATTAAGACTAAAATTGCGTTTTGTTGTAATTTGAAATATTAGATACATAAATGAGCTAAACTATTTACCAAGTAATTTTGCAGTTCTTGTTGCCCACAGTTCTGTCATATTAGGCGCAATATAACTCCTTACTAAATCCTCCAATGTGTTTGCAGAGAGGGAGTTTAAAGATGAAGACAAAGTGCTGTAATTATTAAAAATTTTAATGCATTTTAATTATCAATTTTAATTTCAGTTCCTCCAATAAATAATTTTTCACTTTTTTCACAAATTTTGCATGCTAGTATACATTTTAACAGTATTAAGTTCGGCTCTACTAACAAATCGTTTTTGACTACATTTGCACATTTAATATAAAGAAAATTAAAGGTATTATTCAGTAACCAGATTTCATCGATTTATTTAAGTAAAAGAATTAGTATAATAATTGTATATAAAGTAAAAATGTGAAATATTACAGCGAAAGAAATTTAAATACTGGTCATTCATCAAAAGAGGCTTAGTGTTAACTCTTAATGGAAAAGTTTTCTTAAAGAATAAAGTAATGTTTACTCTTTAAGAAAATGAATTATAAGGGCTGAAATTAAAATCAATGATTAAAATCAAAAACTTTGAAAAATATATATGCTAAGTCTTTTTCCTTTACTAAAGCATAAATTACTGTATTCTGTTCTTTTCTTTTTTGTTGTTGCTTAAGTTTATCTCAGTGTAAGCTTTTACATGTCCATTTAATGGTGGAAATTTGTTTGAAATTTCCTCTTTGATTTAAATTTTGCTGTTTTAACTATTAACACTAAATTTACTTTTTAAATAGATTGTGAAATGCAATGTTATAGAAATTAAGATATATATATATTATATTAAATATGTACTGATGTTTCAGCTCAATTCAATATAAAAAGTTAGAAACAGGCTTAAAAAAGTATAAGATATTCCCAGAAGAAACGATTACTGGCATGCGTAATAATTTAGAATACATGCTAAGCAGTCCGTCCTTATATGTGCATAAACTCCATTTTTTGAGTCACAAACCATACGAGTATAAGTATACCAACAGCTTATAAATTGTCTTGCTCATGCATTTTATTAGATAATTGTTTGTGCTCTTAAACAATTATGCTTTCATAATTTTAATTTTCCCTTTCTTTATCAAAGATATTGTTAGCATACAACATGCATCATTTTCAAATAATGCAGTTTTTTCTGTAATATGTATAGAAATAAACTTAACTATGTAAAAGAGAACTTAAGTTTATTTAATGCAAGATTTTAAATTAAAATCCGTCTCACGTATTTTTTCTATATAACAGTTGAAAGCTTCTTTATCTCAGCACAATATTTTTTTTATTTTACTTATATTATTTTGATTACGAATATAATCAAAATGATATAAATGAGGGTAAAAATATCCTTAAACTCTAAAACTGACAGAGCCATCCATTCAAAAACTGAGAACAAACATAAACCAAAAATAAACCTCTCTATTTTCTCTGTATTCCGTATTTGTTCAAAAAGCTGTGCTTAGGATGTGAATCTCTGTTTTTACGTCCTTAGAAATTTTAACAAATCGCATTATAGTTACACTGAATTTCTATATAACCCGCATGAGGAATATCAAGTCAAAAAGGTATATTTAAAAACGTATGAAAGTTTAGTGTCATAAATACAAATTTAATATTTAAAACGTTTCCACATACAGTTAAAATGAGTGTTTCCTTCTATATATCATTATCGAAAATTTTGTTATCTACCCTAGAAGTACTTTTCATGTTCTATCATAATTCAATTAACTATACTTAACATCAAGATTATGCAATTAGTTATTCTTCAATACGCACAAAACCAAAATAAAAGTTCCATAAAAAATGTCATATTTTATATTATATATCAAACTTCAGAAGTTTAAATTATCTAAACTTTTAATTTGGAGTTGTGCTTGCAGTTTTAGCCAACATACTAAAATTCTAATCTTGCAAATCAACGCACGTTTATGCATGCATATCTGATGAATCTTAATGTCGTCTTATACACTTTAATGTACTTAGCATTAAAAATTAATTAGGAAACATGCAAATGCGCAAAAGATCATACTATGGCTATAAGAACGGAGAAAAAATTGGTTATGAAAACATTTATAAGCCTGTTTAATCTAAACGAGAGCATATATTGTGTGTAACAAATTCTGTTTCAGGGGGTTAAAATAAACTACGGCATTTATCATGGTAAAAGTGCTCCCAAGACCTAGCTGTCTTGGGAAAGATGGCTACGTGGAGTTTTTTCGAGCAAGATTTATTCTTATTTAAATCCCACATTGGCAAAACAATAAAAGCTCACTTCCGAAACCAATGCTCGAGCACTTCGTGGCCTCATTTACACCGCCTCTGCTGTTTACGGACAGAGATGCTTTAAGTTAATAAATGTAATATCTTTAAAATGATCTAAGCTACATTATTTCTAATTCTTAATAGAATCTAACATGTAAATAAAATTTCCTTTTGAAACTAATCGAAATTAAAACAAATTTATCAGAATGAAAAATTTTATTTACCTTAATGCTCCACTGAATATCCCGGAAACAAATAATCCTGGCAGCCCAGGAAGAAATCCAAGATTATCCATTACGAACAACGGAAAAATCTAGAAGTGTGGTAAGAAAAGAATATGTAAGGATAAAAAATATGAAGTCAAATAATAAAAAAGCGCACATTGCAAATTTGAAAATCTGAAAACTACATACCTGATTTGGTGAACTGACTTGTTTGGTTTTTATTGGATCACACGTTGAATAGTTAGCGTAAATAATTAAACCAACTAGAATAGTCATAGTAACAGTAATGATATTACCCGGAAGATTCAGCCAAATGACACTAAAGAAAATGTTTTACATTAGTTTTTGCCCCAGTTGGCACAATACTAAAATAAATTTACAATTAATGTGCTTTATTGAGTTACATTCGCAATGACTAGCTGTGAACTTATATAATTTCGGTTTAAAAGATGACAGCAGTTTTATGAAGTCATAGACCTTATGAGAATTATCGTCTGGGTGTGTTAGTTAACTAAAATAAATACAAAAATAACACCAGTGTAAATTTAAAGTATTATAAATTTTTCTATGTTAGTGAAGTTATAGTCATGTTAATTGTAACAAATTAAAGTGAAACTTATAAAGCTTCTCTTCCTTAGCTACATGTTAAACCAAAGGGAAATAAAATTATCAAACTTCCATTAAAAGAAATGATAATCTTTATTAAAATCGATCAAATAAGATTTAAGAGTATCAAAACTGGATTTGAGAGAAACAACTGAAACGAAATGTTTTTGATTTTCACTGATATTTTCATTTGAAAACATAATAAAAAGAAAAACAGCGCACTGCAATGTGTTTTCTCATCGCTTTTCTTCAGTTAAAACATCTAAGCGTCATACCTAATTTAAACACCATGTCCAACTTAAAATGAGGTAACCTTTTAAAATACTACCAAGAAAATATTGCAAAAGTAATACCAGGAAGCTAGAAGAACAAAAGTAAAATGCGGAGAATCTGCTTGTGAATTATTTGAACTCTGCAGCGTCCTCTTTTGCGATTTCACAACCGGGTAAACGACCGGCAAAAATTCAACATTGTGTATGCAATGCATGCCAATGTAATTTAAAAGTTGCGTTTTTTTTTTTTTTTTTTTTTTTTTTTTTTTTTTTTTTTTTTAAAGCTATGTTTTATGTGAAATTACTTACTAAAACCGCTTCTATATTGCAAGTGATGTCACAAAAGTATGTCTGTTTAAATTCCTGCTATTTTCTCCCTTTTCTAGCATAAAAAACCATACATGTCAGAAGCGGAAAAATATATTATTACTGGAGTAAACTTTTACATATTGAGGATGGAAAATATGTTAGTAATTTTTACAAACTAAATTCAGCATTTCATCAATAAACTCATTAATGTTTACCACTCAGTTCGATTTAGCCATTAATGTTTATTAATAAAGTCATTAATAAGTATTAATAATCTACAAACTACAGGCATTAATATTACAGGCAAATTTTAAAACATAAAAACTGAATTAAATATCGAATTAATAAATTAAAAAACTGTCATGACTGTTGCGTCTCATCAATCGGTAGGTATTTAAAATATTATCTTCAAATCTTTCCAACATAGGTTAAACGTTATTTTTGTCATTCCATCTATTTATTAAAATGGAAAATGCGCGTGCTCCTGTATTTTAATTTTCCGGCATAGCTTTCTCTTCAAACTTGTCTCGCTCAGCATAGCACGTGAAAATGAAACAATTTAAAAACAATTCTACTTAAAAAATAAACAGAAAACTAAATACAAAAACCTTAACACTGTCCCCTACCCAAGGACTGCACGTCCCGGGCGTACAATCTCGAGCGAAACCACCAAAAAAGTGTTGCGTGCGTACGGGTTCCTAATGGATTTAATGCATAAGTCGATAAAAAGTGAATAAAATTTATTCTTATCTCATGAAATAAAACAAAATGCTGAGATTTCCTCAGAGATATTCGTACAAAGTTTCAAACAGAATTTGTTAAGGGAAAAGTGTTTTGAAGCTTCAAACAAAGTTGATTAACTAGGCAATGTCTAGTCCCTTGTTGTCTTGAAGAATTTCCAATCTTTATTCTCACACATATAAAATTATCTCCTTAGATGTTTATCCAATCATAATGAAATCCGATACTTTTCTGTGATTCAGTCATAATGAAATATGATAAATTGCTATTTACATTGATTCTTAAATTTAAGATGCAGGCACTTTAGACGGGGAAGCAAAGCGAGGAGATATTAGTAAGGTGGGAGCTAGCATAAGTGACGTAATTAACTGTCAGGCGTTTTTATACCAGAGTAGTTGCGATTCTAGAAATAGGCTATGATTGGTTAGTTATTAGTTTGCGTTACCCTTTTCAAGCAGCGTTACGAAACGTCGAAAGATCTCGAATTTGGGCGAACAGATGAATTTAGGAAGACAGCACTAAATTTAGAATGTTAATTTTGAGGTCGCCAATTATTTTTTTAAAGAAGCTATTGTATTTTGTTATAGCTTACTTATCCCCCTTCAAAAGAAAGGTAGGGAGAGCACCAAATTGAGAATATTAATTTTGAGGTCGCCAATAATTTTTTAAAGCAGCTATTGTATTTTGTTATATCTTACATATCTTCCCCTTCAAAAGAAAGGTCGGGAGAGTACCAAATTTAGAATGTTAATTTTGAGGTCGCCAATTTTTTTTGAAGCAGCTAGTTGTATTTTGTTATATCTGACATATATATATGAGAAATGCATAGAAAGTCATGATATATTTTTTATTAATGAAAACGTTTATTGCCAGAATAGTATTATTTCACCAGAAGGTGGCGTTCTATTAAAGATGACCCAGGAGGCATAAAGCAAATTGTACATTACTAGGACAACCGCTTGAAATTAGTCTATGAGAGTCAAAGTAAACGTAGACTGTAACCCCGCTCACCATGAAATGATGTCACTTTGCTTGGAGGCGAAGCCTACGTAAGCTAAGATTCGCATTCAGAATTAAATATAGCTTCGAAAAGATAATAAAGAAGAATAAAAAAGAATACTGCATATGGATGCGGTTGATACACACCGCATATTGTAAGAACACTATCTCGGTAACCACTCAAACATTAGCAGAATGTAAACAAACTTCCAGCCATGTGATACCTTCATTGTAGGCAATGTTAACGGTAATGCTTATTTTCACTTCCACTGGTTAATTGAAAGTGGTTGTCTTAACAATACACAGTTTGCTTATATGCGTCCCAAGAATTGGAATCCAGTACAGTATTGTATGGTTATTCTCAAGATACACCCTTACAGCAAATCCAGCAAGGGCAGGAAATGAAACCAGCAGATTTCCAGTGACATCATAAACGAGCAAACTGGGCTTTTTAACAGATGAAAAATAATACGGACTGGCTTCCAAGCGTTGTCTGGACTGAGAAGGCACACGTTTCCCTTAACAGAAGTATAAATGCATACAACTCCCACCATCAGGGAGAAAGAACTCATACTCGATTATAAAAATACCTTTGCGTGAGTCAAAAGCATAGTGTGGGTTCACTGTGTCATTTACTACAAGTCCCGTTTACTTTAAGGAGATTCAAAGAGGTATATTTCGAACTGTTTCTTTCACAAGCGAGAGTTATGCAGCACGTTTTAAAGGCAAAAGCATTCCCTCTTTGCAAGAAAAACAACTGCTTCATAATTACTATTCGGGTAGAATGCAGCATATCCGCATAAGTCCTGCTTAGCACCAGCAGCGATCTATATTTGACGACGTTCGAGTGCTTTTTGCCACTCAAACGGCCACCAATAACTACAGACTCGTGACCTTGTGACTTTTTGTTATGGAGCGGGTACTTGAACTCACATGTGTACCGAGATGGGCCGACTTTATTGCCCATATTGAAGGAAGTTATTCGTCATCATGTGACAAGAATGACAGATGAACCATCTTCGGTGCTATGCAGAGTGTCGGGCGACATCTGGTTACTATCTAATAAATTTATTCTTATCTCAAGAAATAAAACAAAATGCTGAGATTTCCTCAGAGATATTCGTACAAAGTTTCAAACAGAATTTGTTAATTGAAAAGTGTTTTGAAGCTTCAAACAAAGTTGATTAACTAGACAATGTCTAGTCCCTTGTTGTCTTGAAGAATTTCCAATCTTTATTTCTCACACATATAAAATTATCTCCTTAGATGTTTATCCAATCATAATGAAATCGGATACTTTTCTGTGATTCAGTCATAATGAAATATGATAAATTGCTATTTACATTGATTCTTAAATTTAAGATGCAGGCACTTTAGACGGGGAAGCAAAGCGAGGAGATATTAGCAAGGTGGGAGCTAGCATAAGTGACATAATTAACTGTCAGGCGTTTTTATACCAGAGTAGTTGCGATTCTATAAATAAGCTATGATTGGTTAGTTATTAGTTTTGGTTATCCTTTTTCTAGCAGCGTTACGAAACGTCGAAAGATCTCGAATTGGGGCGAACAGATGAATTTAGGGAGACAGCACTAAATTTAGAATGTTAATTTTGAGGTCGCCAATTATTTTTTTAAAGCAGCTATTGTATTTTGTTATATCTTACATGTCTCCCCTTCAAAAGAAAGGTAGGAAGAGCACCAAATTGAGAATGTTAATTTTGAGGTCGCCAATAATTGTTTAAAGCAGCTATTGTATTTTGTTATATCTTACATATCTCCCCCTTGAAAAGAGAGGTCGGGAATATTTATAAATAAGGGCCCTCACACTGAAAACTTTAATTCTACCTACATTGAGAATTGTGCTTCGCCACTGTATGAACTTCTGACACAACATAAGTACCATCTACTGATGGAAACTGTAACTATTCTGACAATAAAATCTGAAATTAATAATTCATTTTAGTTTTTTAATCGTCATGTATATGTATATTTAATAACTGAAACAATCTCAAACAAATCCATCAACGTGTTAAAACCTGCAACAAATTTAACGGGAATAACACCAGTATATACATATATATAATCTTTGCAGAACAACTAGAACATGATACGTCAAAGTAAAAAAAAAGCACACACACAAAAAAAAATTCAATCCTTGTTGTTGTTGCTTTTCCTTGATCCAGTTTTTGACGAAGATAGATGAGATCCAAAAGACAAAGACTGTAAGAAATCCTGTAAGAAAGATCCAAAGACTGTAAGAAATCCAAAGTACAAGGAGGGGATTGGAATAAATATCCTCCCCCTTTTTTTTAGAGAAGCCCAAGCAGCTTAACATGTGCTCGGCAGACGCCTGATATTCTCGGCACTTAGTGCGTGTGGCAAAGATTTTCAAACTCTCTTTGAAGGAGAGGCTCATAATGTGACCGCTGGCAATACGTGAGAGCGCAGTTCGGGAGCACCTATCACACTCAAGGGTTAGAGTCAACCAGGCTTGCTGCCCAGGTATCAGAGATGGGTGGGGGGCAACAACCACTCCACCATGATTTGTGATGTTTTCAGAGAAAATAATTTCAGATAGGTAAAGGCGGAAGAGGAGGGAGTTAAAAATCAATCCTCAATCCAAAAATAGCAGATTAGAATAAGCAAAGGAATTCAAAAAATAAAATGATGTGTTAATATCTCATAACATGTCTTCAGGTGTAAAATAAGCAAGAAAATTTGGTAGAGTAAACAAAAAATAGAATGTAATATAGGATATGTAGTAGAAAGTTGTGCAAATAAAAATAGAAGTACAGGTTAAACAAATATATATCGTTTTAGTTTTGGATAATTTTGTTTATTTTATTTTATTATACTTTTATACATGGGATGATTATGTATTATTTGCTTTTTGTAGGCATGTATTATATAGAAAGAACAAGAGAAAATCTGCTGTTTAAAAAACCAGCAGATTTTACTTACTAGCAAAACTATTACTTTTCAGCAATACAAAACGTGTCATGCATCACCTGCTAGGGAAAAATTTACAGTCTACTACGCCAGATATTTTGCATGTGCATCTACTGTAAGATAATAGAAATAAAAATGATAGCAAGTTGAGTGCCACCAATGTTCTGAAGACGTAACAATTACGGAATGCCTTTCTACGAAATTCCGCTTCAGAAATTCTAGTAATGTGATAAGTGGCGAAGCTATTCTACGGTATTCTTGAAGAATCCTTGGAGAAAATGGTTATAAAGATAAAATTCTAGAGACCTTATAAGGTCAAGAACGTAACACAAAGTTGTGCTCCGTACTTCAATTGATCCAATATTGAGAACAATTACATCAAATTGCGTCATATCTGTATATATATGTGTGTGTGTATGAAAACAGAAACTGAATATTTCAGATGTAAAGTAGTGCTGCTGTCTATCAATTACATTCTTAACATTACGAATCATTAGTTGTCAAAGTATGTTTCTAGACAGCTATTTATTAGAATGAATTACTTAAAACCGAACATAAACTAAGTTACCTCCTCCAATTTCGATACGTTTTGAATCATTGCCATTGTGAACTAAACTGCAACTGCAAAGCGTAAAATGAAAATGAGCATTATCTACGAAAACATGACGTGCACAGAACTGTCAGTAGAAATTAAAAACCAGAAAAATCCTGTTTGACTTACATGTCAGCAAAGAAGTTGTGCGTATGGAAACTTGCGACAAATGAATAAAGTGTTATTACTGCATTACACTTTCATGCTTTAAAACTTCTAGATCAAAGAATGCATCATGAAAGTCAGACTATCGAGAAACGTCAAATGATTTAATCTTCACTGTGATGTACATTTTCACAAGGATAGCATCATTCGGAAGCTTTTGGCTTAAACATATTTAGATTTTGTCAGACTTAGCTTTTTCGTCGGACCTCGCCTTTTGTGATGATTAGCTATCATCCAAAAATCAAAGCTCTAATTACAGGATGATTATTTGATTATGTATTCTCCATTCATAAAGTTGACGTGATATTTTTTAAAAGCACCCCTTTAATTTCTTACCAAGACCGCTCTCGACAATATAGTAGTTAGTAAAGATTGACTGCTAGCCCAAAAATAACGTAGGTTCTTCTTCAGCGTAAAGCTTGGCTACACATATATTGCTCTTTACTCTACTGTCGCGAGTGCAAAATCTTTCTATAGTGCACCATGGACAGGGCTCTCCGTGACAAGCCGGCTAAATGACCAATGGGTGAGGCCATTCCCAACAAATGCCTAAAAAGTAGATGTCTGGCCACTGCATTAAAATAATATCGTATCAGGATGTATTCAATGCACTTGGTAATTCCAGAAGTAGCTTTTGTAAATTTAAATACTACAAATCAATACTGAAAATTTATTGCAGTAACTGTTATTTTTATCTAGCAACAAATCGTCTATCAGATAATTAAAAAACGTGCATTTTTAAATCAAGGTTAAACTTAATTCCCACTTCGAAATGCATGACGAAAAACCAAACACTTATGAACTTAAATTCTATGATTAAATAGTGCACTATAACTTTGTACTATTTCATCACGGAATTTGGAGTTTACGGTTTTCAATGCGTTTTGTTGAATACAGAATGGCATTTCAGCTATTTTATGGAATTATAAATAAAGTTCGTTTTCTTTTCTCTTCGAGTCTTTTAATATTTCTAAAAGCATTAAAATGCATTTTACTTGTTATTAAAGGTCAAAAGAAAGCGAATCAGGAAACTGAAGCAGGAAGTACTGCGTGTTCAAGAACAACAGACCAAAAGTTTAAATATATTTCTTTCACAATGTCACGCGCAGTTGATAAACTTAATATCAGTTAAACAGTTTCTTACTATGCGAAGCAGAGAGAAATTCTTAAACTTTCATTATGAACGTTAACTGCCGAATATTTCCTAGGGTAAATTAAGATCTTTTGGCAAAGGGGAAGTTTTAGCAAAAGTTTGGTGATGAGCTTATATACATGTTCAATTTGATTTACGAATAATTTGATCACAAAAAATATATCATAGATTAAATAACTGAAAATATATTATTAATTATATTATTAATTATATTATTAATTTTATTAATCTTAACATACATTAGTCATATTTCTTACATCGGATTCGACTCGAAATTTGCAAATTTTTCTTTGCCTTTCTCTGCTTGAGGCAAGTCCGGTTGAGCGAAATATTTTTCTATTTTACCATTAAAAATGTTGTTATCCACCTCGAAAATTATATCACACGCACTACTGTTCATAGCACTTATTATTCGGCCGGACATATTCATTCTATGGTAGAAATGAAAAACTGTATTTCATTCGTAAGAGCGAGAGAGGTAACAATTTGTGATTGTTCGGGATGTTTCCTGCAATGCCGAGTAAAATTTGCCACGCTCAGACAAAAGCGTTAAAGGCCGCTCATAGCCAAAATCTGAGAGAATCAAGCAATCAGTATTAGCCCTAGAAATGTCCTATATCATTACCTAATACCCTTACCCTATTTTTCGAAACGTAGCTTGACATTTACGTTTACTTCGTACGATAGACCTAATTAAATTGCACGATTTTTACTTGGCAATATATGCAGCTGACATAAAAATGCAATTTTAAATTCAGTTTATACTCAGGTTTTGAATTTTAGCGGAATTTTTGACTCACATCTTACTTTCAATCTTATTCAATGATCGACTTATATTAAAAAATATATGATAATTATTTTGCTTATAAAGTTTAGCAAACTCTTTTAACTACGTGCCCTCCTCAGTACAATAGTTTTGCAGTGTATATAAAAGCATAATAATTTTCAGAAGGTACGGAATTTGCTTGAAATACTTAAAGAAATGAAGCAGAGTAATTGCAATAATTGGAGGTGGTAAGGCAACAAGAATCAACGTAATATTTAATTTGCAGGCTTAGTTTCGAAGGTTTAAATATAGAAAGCTGTTCTTCAGCTGAAAGGGTGCAAACATTTTGCAATACTGGTGCATGTATATTACGAATTTTCATGAATATTATGCTAATTCTTGTTGCTTTACCACCCCAGTTATCATTATTCAGCATGTTATTTTAAATCAAAATGAAACACATTTTAAACATACGTCTTTGCACGCAGAAGAGTGGGAATTGTTAAAGATCTTTGGATCATTGCTTGGCTTACGGCGTAGATACTCAGCCAAGTGAAGAAACCACCAATTGTGAGTGACCAGATCGTGTGCCGAACGGTGGGATCAGGATTGATGCTGAAAGAAATAATTTATATTAATACAGCTGATATAAAAGACTTTTACTAAAGTTCTCATGTAAATTTTATATAAAGTTTTAGTATAAATAAATAATTTTAATAGATTGCCTTATTATTCTAATTTGCTTACATGGAACAGAAATTACAATTTTATGAATAATTGATAAGTTACCAAGATCGGTAACTACGTTTCTATGTTAAGCGATAATAACTTAAATTGGAATCAAAGTCTATGTCACACAGATTAGCCTTAATATTCATGTTGCAATATATTGTTTATTGCATTAATATCTAACAAAATCTGACATTCACCTTTCATAAAATTGATATTATGTGGGTGTTAATGCAAAAGACAGGCATAATGTCGGTTTAGAGAGGAATGCAATCATAAATGGCTTTGTTGACCATTTGTGATTGCCATTCCCATTGCCATTTATGGCTAAATCATAAATAATGCACTATTCAGAACCTCGTGTTATCTTTTTTATTTTTGTTTTTTACATTGGTAATGATTGTTTCAATTATTTAAGAGACAAGAGAATCTTTTCAGGTTACACAACTGAATTCGGAGATTGGAATAAATTACCAAATTAAAATCTAAGCATTAATGGAAGTTTCTTGGTAACTTCAAATGCATATGTGCCAGAATACGTTTTCTTTTGAATTTTATCTGATGATTTTTATTATTTTCACAAAAAAAAAAAAAAAAAAAAAAAAAAAAACATATTTATTGTTTCTGCACTAAGTTTTGAATGACAATGTGTGAGCATGCCGTAGATGTCCGATGCTCTTAAGATAAATTCAAGACTTCTAAAGTAAAAAAAGGAGTGAGAGAGAAGAAAAGGAAAAAAAAAGCAGTTTTATGTATACCATCTTGAGTAGTGGCGACAGAACTACATATTAGACTAGCTAAATAATAGAACTTACACTGATATATTTTTCTAAATACTGTCTTGCGGTAATACAAACAGCGGCAAAATTAGATAACGAAAGGAAATATGTGGGGAGATAGGTTTCTTGTTTTACTTTAAGAGCAGATACTACAATTCTTTACATCACTTTTGTACGTAAAACAATTTTAATTTTGATAATAGAATGTAATCACAAAGAGACAAATCTGGAGTATAGACGGAATTGTCCGATTCAATCAAAAGAGTCGCTGCATAAACACTGAATTATGTAAAAGTCAGCATAAAAAATCGAGTGCTTAATTTTAGACATTAAAAATCATCTGTTTAAATTTCAGAGTTAAGATTTCTTAGAATGGCAATAGAAATGCAGAGTTCTCGTGATAAATAAATGGGATGACCACAAAGCTATGAAAATACTAGTTGAGTACATTTGTTTATTTTTATCTGTCCTTCATGTAGTTTTGAAGAATTATGCTTGGGGAATGCAATGAATAATACTAAAGAGCTGAATAATAGATTCCGAATTATAATCAAAATAATGTCTTTATAGATAAAATGTTTTTATGTAATGCTTGAAAATGTTTTTTTTTTTAAATTTACCTTATATGAAAGTTACATAACACAAAAAGTTGTACATTCATTTATTCAGCACTAAGATACTGAGAACATCGATCCAGGTATTATTACTTAATCGATTATCTTAATTTCCATCACATATTTCGTTTTGGAATATTTCAAATTTGTTCTTACAACAATCTAAGTTTTTAGAGTAAAATTACATACTAAAAAACAAAAGTACGTACAGTGTAACATCACAAAAGTAAGAACTACATACTCTAAAATCCCAGTTCTTTCAGAATTCTGGGCTTTAGTCCATACTTCTTGAAGACCTCCGACATCCATGGAACCTTTGATTATTACCGTGAAAAGAGCGCCAAAGATTATTATAGTCTGAAAGACATCAGTCCATACAACAGCTTTGATACCTCCCTAAGAGAGATAAAAATGGGAAAAAATTATTCATAAGTAATGGAGTTTTTCTGATAAAAAATAGTAACTTTAACAGTTCTCCGAAGCTCAAATCTTATACGCAGTTAAAACTATGATGAGTTTGTAACCAATTTACACCTAGGTTTGTCTTGCTGAATTTAAATATTTCAATTATTTACAAAACAATGTGCTATTTTAAAGCTAAACACCCTCTCTGTCTGCACTACAACTAAACCATTGACTCACCAACTGCACACATACTGTCTATTTTCTGGCCTTCTGTGGATGGATTCAGCCGCAACAAGTTCTCAGTAAGAAGCGGCGAAAGCTCCAGTAGGCTGCAGTTTAGATTTTAAAGATTTAATTTGAAACTATGACGCATGACTTTCAATTTGCACAGCTTTCTGGTCTGAGCGGAAATTGCGACATGAACCAAGAAAGACAGGATAGAGTTTAACTCAAAAAACAGCTGTTAACTAAATTCACCAATAATTGGATGTTTGATCGTAGAAAAAAAGGGTAAGATTTCAGTTTGAATATCACATTAAATTTTGAGGACAGATGTTTATTATTCTGTTATCTACATAAAGGCCTGCTGTAAGATGCAAGTTTTGAGGTCTTTAATATAAATATTTAGTACTCTAAGCTCCGTATCTTTATTGGGAAAATTATTTTCTTTGTTGCTGTTGTCATATATGGAACAACCATCCAGTTTCAAGGAAATTTAGAGAAAAATCAAGGTACCATTGATTAAAATGTAGCTGATTTGTTGTTTACAAGCTAACATAATCATTACTGGAATATAAATTTCCCAGTAAACACTTGCAGACAACTCACACTTGAAATATGGAGTTATGTGAAATTTCATTGTGAACATATTGTAACTTTTATTATATCTTATAAAACTGCGTAATGAGAAATTATCAACGGTAGATAATCCAAAATAAGACTTCATGCTCAAGACTTCATGCTGTGTTTCTAAAATAAGATTTTATTCTCTATATAAACCATTGCATCACGCAGAAGTTTCAGTAATTTTGTAGAGACATTATGTTATTTCAAAGCAGGAGTCATGAATAATGAGCAATGCCTTCGCCGGGACTCGAACCACGGACCTCTCGAATACGCGCCGAGCGTGATAACCACTACACCACGAAGGCATGCTAAGAAGAAGGCGGAAGAAAAAGCTTATAATTTTACTAAAATCTGGTGTTTAATCTCTGTAATAAGAGTAAAACAGGGTTATTCTAAATGCTTTAGCATTTCTGATTTTGATGTATGTTTTGTTCTGTTTGCAAAACCATCCTGACATAATGGAAGAGCGTTCTATTTGTTTGGTAATAATTTCATTTTTAAGCAGATTTCCTCATTTCACAGACTCTGGTTATAAAACTATCACGTGATCGCGTTTGCTGCTACTAAGAGACAGCTATGCGATTTCAACAGTATGCAAATAAATATTACACTGCAAGGTTTAGTTTAATTAAGAAGCTATTTTATTACATGAAATATTTTCAGCAATTCTACTTTCGATCAACTCCACCAGAAATACAAATTAAATTATTTTAAACCAAAATCCAGTATCTAAAAGAATATTACTAGATCCTACGTTTTCGATTAACATCATTATATGAATATAGCTCTGTTGCAATATATATGAATAAATATTCTACCAAAAATACTATATTAAAATAATACAAATAACAAGTACTAGTAAATAAAAAACTTATTAAATGAAAATGGAAGTAAATCATATTTTCAAAAGCGAAACCTCAAAAATTTCAAGTGGAACACTTAACATTTCACATAGAACTGAAATGCTAAAGCACTTCTTGAAGGCTAAATACAGATATGAAGTAACTTAATAACACGAACAAGTAATTTTATAATAAATGTAAGATTAAAAACAATAATCTTACTATTGTTGTGTAGAATGTACACACCAATCCAATAGACAAAACGCAAACCCATAAATGAAGTCCAGTCACTAAAAAAGAAAATTAATAGTTATGCTGTAAATTAAAGTAATATTAATTTACACATTAAATACAAACAATTAATAGCAGTGATTTTTTCTTTACCTTGTGACAGCACAAGTGATGGAGCGTAGATTACAAATGCTGTATACAACAACTGCAATATTGAAATGAAACAACTTATTACACGTATATTATATGCTTATATGTATATTATATGTATATATGTAAGTAAAAAATATGTAAATCTCAAAAACTATAATTTAAACTAACTCTAAACCCTTAGTTCGTCGTCTCTGTTCTAAAAATAGTAATGCTTTTTTCTGGATGGCGTCATTTCTAGATCTATCGTATGACTTGCATAACGCTGATGACGTAGCTGATTCGAAATTTTAATATGTAACATAAAAAATATGTAAATCTAAAAATTATAAGGCCCAAATTATATGTAAATCTAAGAATTATAAGGCCTTTTGAGGCACAAATTACTTCATTTTTTGAAAAAGTGTTTGAAACATTTTTATAATATTTCTTTATTGATGAGAAACCTCTGACATTAAATTTATGAAAATAATGCAAATTTTCCGTTTTTTTATTTAAAACTGTTTAAAAAAGTTTTAATTAATTTTTTTAATTTAAAAGTCCCGTTGGGACATTATTTTATTCATATAAAATGGTGCTAGTAATGAACAGGCTTAATAAAAGTGAAAATTTTTAAAGTTAACCCACTTAATAATTTTAATTAGAAACATACTATCTCTTAGAACAGAATAATCCTTTTTACATAAAAATGTATTCATTGTGTCATAGAAACAATTCTTTTTTCCATTTACACAGAGGAAAATTTTACATAAGGAACACTGAGAATGTAGCTTTGATTCAATTTGTTTCCATGAACATATTTCACAGCGCTTCTGGATACAAAAACTCTATCAACGATTCCTTTATTTTGTTCTCTAATATCGCCAGATATCGAAAACGCCTGGTTATTGGTTTCGTTGCAGATGGTATCTCAGAGGGTTCAGTGGAAGAACTAGGTCTTCCTCGTTTCTCGGGAACAGTAGATGACACTGTAGTGAGTCCTTGTGTCACTCGTCTTTTATATTGAAACTAGCGGGCAAGCCCGCCAGCTGAGCGGGCTGAAGCCCACTTTTCATTGTTCAATGTTCATGAGATTCCATTGTAATTTCGCCGGTATTCGAAAGTTGGACCGAACTACCAGTGTTCAGCAATTTTGAGCGGTCTGGTCCGCTTTGTTCACCTATGCATGGAGAAGATATTGCATAAACGATACACATGCGTAAACGCAAGAAAACACCCATGGAGCCAGCCCGTTCGCCGGGATCGAAAGTTGGACCGAACTACCAGTGTTCATCGGTTTTGTGCTGCCTGCGCCCGCTTTATTCACATATGCATCCAGAAGACACTGCATACACGATACACATGCGGAAAATCACGAAAACACCCATGCAGGCAGCCCACTCTCTCGGATTCGAAACATGGACCGAACTACCAGTGTTCAGCGGATTTGAGCGGGCTGCGCCCGCTTTATTTACGTATTCGTCCATTAGATACTGCATACACAATACACATGCCTAAAATCACAAAACACCCACGCAGCCAGCCCTTTCGCGGGTATTCGAAAGTTACATCGAACTACCAGAGTTCAGCACTTTTGCTCGGGCTGCGCCCGCTTTATTCACGTAGGCTTCCAGAAGATTCTGCATACAGGATACACATGTGTAAAATCACGAAAACACCCATTATCCGCGTATACGTCCAGAAATACTGCATACATGATAAATCATAAAAACACCCATGCAGCCAGCCCGATCGCCTTTATTCGAAAGCTGGACCGAACTACCAGTGTTTAGCAGTTTGCGCGGGCTGCGCCCGCTTTATTTACGTATGCATCCACAATATACTGCATACACGTTACACATACGGAAGATTACGAAAGCACCTATGGAGCCAGCCCGTTCGCCGAGATTCGAAAATTGGACTGAACTACCAGTGTTCAGCGATTTTACAGCTCAGGCTTTTTGCCAAGTGTAATCGCAAAAATTTTCGGGTATTATATTCAAACAGTAGATTCGTTATTAAAATTCCTTTTGATAAACTTTAACATAATCGCACACAAAGGTGCATCAATTATATATATTAATGTAAGTAATCAATCATAATTATTTATAATAAGAAAACTTTCCATATACCATATCCGAGCAACAGAAATTCAATTTAAAACCCTGAACGAAAAAAATTTAATCAGAATTTAAATAAATAGTGTAATTATTATTTTTTTTGCAAATAAAATTTCTTAATTAAAATTTAATTTAATATTAGCTTTATGCGAACAGAGACATTATATTAATGCAAATATATAATATATAAAACAGTGAATGATTACGTAGCTCAGTAACACAAATGAGCACGCTGATTTAAGCTATTAGACATATTAATTTGTATTACTCAAAGTTGCTTTTCTTATTCAGATCCAAAAATCACGAATTATTCGAAAAATGCACAAAAAATACGTATCTCGGCAACCGACAGTCCGATCGGCTCGTAATTTACAATCTTATAATTGCCAAATTTTGAAAAGAGGTTTGGTCTTTGTTCCAGACAGATTGGCAAATTAGAAGATTAATTAGCCATAATGAATAAAAATCCTCCACTACTTTAATTTCATCCCTGGCGAAAGGCCTTGACGATTCCAAAAGTCGTGCGGAAACCATCTCCCCCTCTCCGACACCCGTCGCTTTCGAATCGAAGGCCGTCAACCAAGAGTTAGGAAGGGGAGATAAGGTAGTAGCGCTTTTTTAACGAATCTTCTAATTAGGCTCCTAATTAGCAAAACAGTTTACAACGAACACTAACCTTTATTTGAGCATCCGGGAAGTGCAAAATTCAAAATTTGAACGAATTCGGTTAATTCTTTCAAGAGTTACATATTTTTGTGCATTTTTCCGGCTGAATTTCTCTAATTAAGAAAAATGCACAAAAAACACGTATCTCAGCAACCGGCAGTCCGATCGGCTCATAATTTACAATCTTATAATTGCCAAATTTTGAAAAGAGGTTTGGTCTTTATTCCAGAGAGATTGGCAAATTAGAAGATTAATTAGCATAATGAATAAAAATTCTCCACTACGTTAATTTCGTCCCCCGCTAATGGCCTTGACGATTCCAACTGGAAAACGGATACAGCTGCAACCCCTCAAAACCCGTCGCCTTCGAATCCCAGCCTGTCCACAAAGATATCGGAAGGAAAGAAAAAGGAGTATTAGGGCGTTTTTAATTACCCCGTTAATTAGGCTCCTAATTTGCAAATCAGTGCGGAATCAATTCCATCAGTCGTTTTATCCCCTGGCGGGTTTAAAATTCAAAATTTCAAAGAAATCGGCCGGTAAGTTCCAGATTTACCGAGTTTTTGTGCATTTTTGGGCTCAATTTCTCTAATTAAGAAGAATTAATATCTTGGGAACAAATAATGCGATCGGCTCCAAATTTAGAAATTTACAACTCATAGATAGTCAAATGAAGGATGCTCTTTGTTCTAGAGAGATTGGCAAATTAGAATATTAATTAGCATAATGAATAAAAATTCTCCACTACGTTAATTTCGTCCCCCGCTAATGGCCTTGACGATTCCAGCTGGAAAACGGATACAGCTGCAACCCCTCAAAACCCGTCGCCTTCGAATCCCAGCCTGTCCACAAAGATATTGGAAGGAAAGAAAAAGGGGTATTAGGGCGTCTTTAATTACCCTGTTAATTAGGCTCCTAATTCGCAAATCAGTGCAGAATCAATTCCATCCGTCGTTTCATCATCTCGCGGGTTTAAAATTCAAAATTTCAAAGAAATCGACCGGTAAGTTCCGGAGATACCGAATTTTTGTGCATTTTTCGGGCTAATTACCATCTTTGCTAATTAAAGTCGCACGAAGATGCGAATGGCCAAAATGGCGAGCTACGGACGTCCTGAATCCAACGGTATTCTCCGCTAAGCTCTACACCAGCCGTTTCGGAGAAGATGAGGTTACAAACAAACAAACAGACGCGCACAGATTTTAATAGTATAGAGACAATGGCAGTTTCTTTACCATTCCGCAATATACTGTATATAAATGACAAAAGTGTCTTCCAAAATTAAAAAAAAAGGGGGTGCCACCATTTTGTTGATTTTATATTTCTATTAAACAAAGATATCAACATATCACTCTTGTCAATAACATTCATGTGGCTGTTGTAGTTCTTCACCATTAAACAGACTATAACATCGAGTTTGGAACATTCCTTTTGAATAGTACATGTCTCGGTTCCACGGTAATTTGACAGAAAGAATAGAAAATAACTGTCTGTCCATCTGAAATAAGAAATCTGCTAGTTTGTAATACGAAAGTCATATATATATCTGGCCAAAATGCCCTCTTTTCAAAGTTTTATCTTGGTCCAGAATTCTCAAGTCTTTACGATCGCTTCTTACTGAGTCACCTGCATTTATTGCAATAGATTTTAGATACCCGAAAATTCAATTGACAAATAAAAGTGATGAAAAAAGTGAAAAATGCGAATAAAGAACTTATAAATGAAAAAGATTATAGATAATTCAATGTAAAATTTAATCTTGACATTTGGAAGCTAAAAATATACCAAATAAAAAGAATCAATAAAATCTAAAATATATGATATTCATAAATCCAAGACCTTACAGTCCCAAGAGAGATTTTGCAGTCCCACAGGAAAAAAACTTTCTTTGCTCAAGAAAAATAAAAGGTTTGATTTTAAAAACTTAACACATATGAACTAAGATATACTTTTACATATAATGTATAAGTACTTATACTATATTATATGTATAAGTACATATAATACATAGGTATCATATGTATATTATTTAAATGTGTGTCTATATGTTACTGGCACAAACAAAAGGTGTTTGCCGAGAAATTAAAATCTAGTACAGCTTCATTAATCGCTTTTAAAAACGTTCAGTTCGAGAAACGATTAAACTAAGAAATTATTACGCATTATGAATAAGTAATATATTGCAAATAAATAACTTTTCGAGCTTCAACATTAGTACACTATTTTCACAGGACTAGTTTCGATGGTTTTACCGAACCACCATCCTCAGCTGCAAAACCGCAAATGAACAAGATTATAACGCTGATTCTTGTTGTTTGACTTCTGAATTAGTATTTATTCGGCGTGTTATTGTGTCTTAATTAGTACACTATATTAAAAAACTAATTTTTAATTAACAGAAAGAAAAAAGGTCATGTATAGAGATGTTTGCTCCTTGGCCGAAATTTGCCTTCAATTGGCAAATACGACTTTTCGAGACCTAAGATATTTTGATGTTCCAGGTAGCTACCATTTCCCACATAAGAAAGTTGCTTCAAATTTTGTAAAGCTTTGTAAGTCTCGATAAAGCTTATCATTTCCTTTTCCTCATTTTTACCTTCATCTTCATTTATCATACTCAATACTGACATAAGCTGAAAAGCCATCTTGAACCCTAGAAACTAACAGGAATAAATTAATGAAAACTATCAGAAATGAATTTATATTGCAACGTGCAGTGGACGGAAGTATAATAGTTAATAATGACAATTATGAGTTGAAGTTTATTTACTGCCTTATTATACAGCCAAATTTACCGTCGAAAGCGCATGCTTCACGTCCAATTAATACTTTTTAAACGAACCATGAAAACATTCTGTGTCATGAACGTGATTTAGAAATGATTTATGCTGTAAAATGAACAATGGATGCTGGACTAAACAACGTTATTTTTCGAGAACTTCATTCAAGACCAGGCGTAGCGAACAATACATGTGAGAAAACGATAGCTTCGGAAATGATAGATCTTGATTCTACTGTAATACTTTATGATTTACTCAAGTAAAATTATCAATATTTTTATATTTTTTCAGGAATTAAAATTTAGCCATATGTTAACGAGTAAATCATTTAGGTATCTGCAACACTTAATATTAATTTAATTACAGACTCTTTTAGTTTTTATTTTCATAAACGAGCACTTACTTGAGCTATTGTGGAAATAACGAAGCATGTTGTCCTCACGAGTTTGCTATACCTTTTCTCCAAGTACTAGATAAAAAAAAAGAAATATGCGTCTGAATATATCAATGGAAATATAAAACTGTCAACTCATTCGTACAGAAATTAGCAAATGAAAGCTATTTTCGTAGATTAAATATTAAATAATTGAAACCTAGCAGTATTCAACGTGACAAATGAGCGGAAAACTGAATCATTTTGACTACTGTTAAACTTCACGGGAACTGGACTAGATATACTACGGCTACTCACGCCTTTCTCAGTTATAATGTAATTGAGAAAACTTTTTATTTAAGTCATATTTTCCATGGAAAATAATCCCAGCTTGATTTGCAAGTAAATAAATTCATTTAAAACTTTATTTTAACTGCTTGTAGTTTCATTTGAACAATTAAAGGGCAAACAAGGATTAATGATGAAACTTTTATTATTATTTTCCAATGATATAAGCCCCTTTTCTTTAAAGCAAATTTTAAAAAATTGTTTTACATTAAAAACAATTGAATAGGAATGTTAAAATTTTTCCAGGAATTAAAACCTTAACTTTACAGAATAAAAGGATGAATAATGAATTTCATTAAGAACAAATAAATAAGCTCGAAATTGAATTTAAAAAAAGGAGGAGCAATTTTATCACTAATAAGAGGAAAAATGAGATGCATGATTGGGAATTTCGAATTTGAGGCTTCTGTTTATAATAAAAAGAATGCTTCTCAAAAGCATTATTGAATTTTTGCTGCCTAATTTCCAAACTTTGACATGGCACGGTAAACAAGAAACAGAAAAAATATTTCTCATCAATTCTGGAACACTTAAATTGTGTTTGTAAAAGGAATCACAGATACTGTTCTCATATGAAGTTACGGTGCAGTCAGTATATCTAATTATCCGTTTAGAAACTTTCGTTTAAACACGGCGTTTTTTAAAATTCCTTTTGACATTGATACACACATCCAACAACAACGAAAAAGTCTAATGACCTAAGTAGCACCCGAATTAAAACCTAGGCAACCTCGATTTTGTTTCGATTCCCAATGGGTTAGTGTTGATTTTTCAAGGTACCTAGTCGCAAAAGAAAGCTTTAATGATTCAACATTTTTATGATGGGTTTTCAGAATGACAAAAAACAAAAGATTTGAGATATTCTGTATCAAAAATGGTCATCCTGGAGGGCATGGTGATTTGAAAAGTTGCCTACTTTCTATGTGGCTGTATTTGGGTTCGAATCCCGGTAAAGTCATGGATATTTGCGAATCAGTGAACCAACCTATACACAGATATCGCAGATACGTAAGAAGGGTCATGGCCCTTTCCTTACGTATCTGCGAGGAAAAATATAACAGAGCAATAATTGCTGTGTCTGTAGAGAGATCGAATTCTAACCATTATATACTCCTATTTCATATCACTCAAGAACTGTACTGCAGATTATCCCCCATCAGATTTTTATAGTACATATAAAATACTAATTAGAACTTATCATTTCAAGACGAAAATAACAAATATTATGAGACGAATTACTGTTATAGGAAGGGATACCTGCTAACCGGAAGGTTAGCTAAATTTACAAAATCTGCATGTCGTAGCAATCACAGTAAAACGCATCTTAATTTATTATACCTCAATGGATTCAGTGTGAGTTAAAACGTCATAAAAAGTGCCTAATTGCCCCTGCGATGTGAAGAAACTCACATAGGTACCCATTTGCGCAGAAGAATATTATGCACATTTCATTAGACTTTTATACTATGAAATCTCAGCTCTCAAAGAAATATTTGGGACATTAGTACAGCTCTAAACAGGAAGCATGTGATGACTACTATTTCCAATGACAAAAGATGTAGTACATGTGCTTGTGTGGGTGAATCTTCGCCGCATGGTGGCTGGATTCAACAGTCCAAACTTATCCGATTTCAAAAGCATATTTTAGCTGAATTAAATTTCTTCCCATCCAACCACGTAAAGGTAGGATCAACAGTCAGCTTTTTGAAACAATTTGGTTGCAAAATAGAAGATGTAAGTATTAACAGCTACTGGCCTAAGAAAGGTTTCCCATTAGAAATTCTTAAGTTTAGACCCAATAATTTCTTTGGGAAACACATTAAATCTAATTTAGTTAATCTTTAGTAACATCGATTAATTCTTCACTTTTAATAGGAAACAAGTTTAATTGCAAGGCTTGCTCAGTATCGTAACAATAAATATTTGAAAATAGTGATTTAATATCAGATGAAATCACAGCTGCATTCGGGAGTAAGGAACTACTCTTATATGCGCCCTCAGGCCGCCAAATTTCTCGCCAAACATTTTTGCTGAGAAATTCCACGGTGCCATATTACTACCTAACTATTTTGTCTACGTTTCGAACTTTAAGCCTAAAATGTCTCCAAAAACGCTGTTTTCGCACATGCAAAAACCACGTTTTGAACACACAATTTAAGTTAAAAATCCGAAACGAAAACAAAAAAATTTAGATAGCGAAAACGTAAAGTTTCTAACCAAAAATATTTGACAAGAATACATGTACACAGCGATATGTTTTGACTTAAAAAAAATCTACGAATTGCCCAATCTAGGCTGCGAAAGAATCTACGAACTACGCACACCTCGCTTTAATAAATTAACATAACAGGAATAAATTTCAAAGAATACCAAGTACACAGCGCTCTGTTTCAACTTTAAAAAACATCCCCGAATTGCGCAATCTAGGCACCACGCACTAATCAACAAAATAAACTAAAATAAATTTCAAACAATTAAAAAAAAACAGCAATGACGACAGAAATTCATACGAAAAAAAAAAAAAAACAATGAACATAACGTTCTACAAAATAAGAACAAGAATAAAATAAAATACACTTACCATGAATGAATGCTTTTTCGAACAGCAGAAATACCAATTTCATGCCACCTTTAACATGCCGCCACGTAATCACTATCGTATTTATATAACAGCCAGACACACTATCCAGAAAATTCATACTATGGTTCACAAATGAATGTTCAAAACCTTCTTTGGTTGATCTTTACATTATGGTAACTTGGCGTTTTTTTGGCGAAAATTTGGCGACCAACTCTCCTACAGCAACCCTCTATTTTTTTTTCCCGCCGCCATTTTGTCTTCACGAAGTAAAGACATGTTTCTTTCTTTTTATCTACTGAACACTTCTTCCAACAATTACTAGCCGAATTACACTTATGCTAGAAATTTTATCTAACAAAACTGCTTAATCATGACAATATTCACTGAAAAATTGGGAAAAAGTGCACAATACCCATACTCCTTACGCGTTTTTCAAAATAAACACATACACATAAACCATGTACAGCCGACTTATTTTTACTTAAAAAAACATTCCAGAATTGCAAAAATGGAATGCGCACACTCTTCACTATATCCATGTACACTGCTTTTTTCTCATAAATTAGAAAATTTCACGAAAATACATGACATTTTCTCAATCTTTAAAACCGGTAAAAAGAACATATATGAATTACCTGATCGCGAAAAAGTATTACCCTTTCCAATATGAACATTTCCACATATAAAATAAATAAAATATCCAAAAATTTTTACCTCTAAATCATCTATTACATTATACACGTCACCAACGAATTCATACCGCAAGCATTACAAAAATACTTAGTATCAAAAAATTTAAATTATTTCCATGCACGTTTACTTCAACTTAAACGTGTACCAAATTCCTACAAACATAAAATTCACAAAATAACTATCATTTAATTAAATATCACTAAACCATGTACACGTCGACTTATTTTTACTTAAAAAAACATCCCAGAATTGCACACAAAAATGGCATTGCGCACACTCTTCACTATATCCATGTACACTGCTTTTTCTCATAAATTAGAAAAATTTCACGAAAATACATGACAATTTTCTCAATCTTTTAACCCGGTAAAAAGAACATATATGAAATTACCTGATCGCGAAAAAGTATTACCCTTTCCAAATATGAACATTTCCACATATAAAATAAATAAAATATCCAAAAATTTTTACCTCTAAATCATCTAGTACATTATACACGTCACCAACGAATTCATACCGCAAGCATTACAAATACTTAGTATCAAAAAATTTAAATTATTTCCATGCACGTTTACTTCAACTTAAACGTGTACCAAATTCCTACAAACATAAAATTCACAAAATAAACTATCATTTAATTAAAATATCACTAAACCATGTACACGTCGACTTATTTTTACTTAAAAAACATCCCAGAATTGCACAAAAATGGCATTGCGCACACTCTTCACTATATCCATGTACACTGCTTTTTTCTCATAAATTAGAAAAAATTTCACGAAAATACATGACAATTTTCTTAATCTTTAAACCCGGTAAAAAAAGAACATATATAAATTACCTGATCGCGAAAAAGTAATGAACATTTCCACATATAAAATAAATAATATATCCAAAAAACTTTTACCTCTAAATCATCTGTTACATTATACACGCACCAACGAATTCATACCGCAAGCATTACAAATACTTAGTGTCAGATATTTAAATTATTTCCATGCACGTTTACTTCAACTAAAACGTATACCAAATTCCTACAAACATAAATTCACAAAATAACTATCATTAATTAAAATATAATTAAATTCAAAAAAAACTACTTTCTTAAAATATAAATGAGCACATACATTACAAATTAATACATATATAAATACCCATTTCGAATTCACTTTAGTTACGGCCATGGGATCCAAAAATTCACTAAACACTGTTTCACACAACACAGAATAAAGCCAAATACAAAATTTCCAGATTTTTTCCCGATTTCCCCCTTTTCCGATAAAGAAACCGTAATTCGTCCATTAATATCACATGACATATCCCATGATCTCTCATTTCCCTCACACAAAATAATGTGTAATCGGAACTGAGTACTGCTCACATTATTACCAAATTCCCAGGTAGTAACCTTTATCGCCTCCAAAATGTCGCCAAACTACCAGTTACCATATTGTAAAGATCAACCCCTTCTTTTCCTAAATCCTTGTAAGATTTCCAGCCATCCGAACAAATAGTTGTACAAGGCTCAATCCACTCTTTAATACACTGCATCAGCGTTTCCTTACTTCTATCATGCACAGCCACTAAAAATAATCTCCCAGACCCTCTTGCAACCACGTCTCTCATTGCAACATAGGCCATTTCAATACACGCACGACACACGAATCAACGAGCAATTAAAACACTCCAGCAAAAGAGTATTCATCGTCAAAAAGGTTGCCATACAACACACGCAATCGCGCCAAAAACCAGCGCAGAACACATACCGCCACATTTGGTGATCTAAGGGCGCATATAAGAGTAGAGCCGTGGGTAAATATTCTTGAGTTTGTTGCCATATTCAAAGGAATACTTAGTGATGTAAGGAAGATATGGATAAAATTTTGTAATTAAATATTTAGCTAATGAATGGGAGGCAGTTCTAAATTCCAAACTGTAGGACGAATTGGTATGCCAGTTTTGGGCGCTTTAGAAAGGGCTTATATTCTAGAACACTAATAGATGAAATCAGAGATTTCTGCAAACCGGTTGCGAAATTTTATTATCTTTTTATTGAGTTCACAAGCAATATAAATTGCAAGTCAAGATTTATTCTCAACGGTAGTAAAATTATATGCATTATTAGTAGTTCTAAATTAATATAATACTACTACTACTCGATTTTGAATCAATGTTTGTATTTCTAGTACTGTAGTAAACCATTTAATATTTAGATTTCAGAATGAGTTTAGAAATCCGAACTGAATGTTTGAGATCATATTTAACATAAACGAAACTGGACATGATATCATGTCGTTTTTATTTGTGTACCTTTGAAGATGGTTTAAGATTTTCACATATTTAAGTAGTAATCTCAATGAATTATTCATATCTTCATTAATGACTAATTATATCTGTAAGGTTTTTCTTCCTCCTTGCCACGTGCCTTTGTGGTGTAACTAGAAAGCCCGTCTAGCTAGCAGTCGGAAGGTCCAAAGTTTAACTCCCGGCGAGGGCATCTCAGATTCTTCACGTTTTCCGTCTTCAAAGAGTTTCTAAAAGACTCTATAAGTAGAGTTCGAACTAAAAGGTGTGGATGATAATTTTTCAACACCAAATATTTGGCGGCTGGTTCCTCTCCTTTCCAGTCGTTCTCTGAGTAGGAGAAGCTGTAAGGTTTTTCTCCTTCCTTACCAGGAGTGTTCGTAGCGTAACTGGAAAACACGTCCGACTAACAATCGGAAATTCTGCAGTTCGAGTCCTAGCGAAGACACTGCACATTTTTCATGTCTTCAACAAAACCTAATGATGCTGCGACTTACTTTTAAATAATCTATCTCATTCTCAACTTTCTACTGTAGTTAGTGCTACTGCAGCTGTATTAAATATGCAAAAACAGCTTTCTTAATCTAAACAAGGATATTTAACTTATTTAAAAGAGAGCAAAATTTAACAAAACTTAGTGAGGACGAAACAGTAATGAAGATTTCGTTGAAATCACCTTCATTTTCTCTTTTTTTTTTAAACTAGACTGTAATTTTAATTTGTATATTTTAATAAATAAAACACTTAATCTCTACGTTAGAAAATTTTTGTGCATGCAAAGCTTAAATTTTATTACTTACCTCATTTACAGAAGATACTTGAAGTTTATAGAAAAGTGGTACATAAATATGGGCTGTGACAGGTATGACGAAGCAGTATGCAATATTGACCATCCAGTATTGAATACCAAATTGATATGATTCAGCAGGTACTCCCAATAGCGTAATAGCAGATAAAAATGTTGCCAAAACAGACATAGCCACTGGTAGGACTTTCATGGTTTTTCCGCCGAATAAAAACTCTTTCGTCGTACTTTGTTTTGTCCCAGTTACAGCATAGAACACGCCAATGCCTGCCGAAATTGCTAGCATGGCTATGCACACGGCATAGTCAGCTAAGTCGAAACGACGACTCATTTCGCTTGGGATAGTGATATTCATTATGATATCTATAGGAGAAAAAGCAGAAAAATTAAGATTCGAATTCAATTTCTTCAAAGCTGAATTTTAAAATTCTTAGTTTGTTTCAAGAGCTCAAAATGCAAACGTAATATTAAAATTTGTAGAACTATTAAAAACTCAAAAGTAGTACTTTGGTTCTGTTATCGCAAGCAATAAAAAAAATCTGGATTACATTGTTTTCTCCCGGATGTGAACAAGAAACCTGAAATCCGTGCTTAATAGACTTGATGTTCCTTGTACACCAGACACAGATCCAATTTAAGCAAAATTCAAGGACATTTACATTAAAGAATATTTAGAAAATAATGATTATACAGAACATTAATAACCTTTATTTTTTTACAATTTAAGAAAACTAAAAATCTGTTTTTTATATTCATATATGTCTTAATCTCGAAAATATTTAAGGAAATTTTATTTACTTTCACAATACCTATTTAAGGTAGGAGGTAAAAGAAAAAAGGGGAGGATAGCGCTTTGCTTATTAGCCCAGAAGGGCTATTAATTTCGTTTTGGCATTTTGCATTGGTTCACTATAACTGTTGGTTTACTTTTCAAATTGTTGCCACCAAATGTTACAGCCCTGGGTTATACTTAAAGAAATTAAATAATGAAGAATCTACATGAATGTATGTATGTTTCTCGCATTGTGATAAAACAACGGTGGCTAAAGCCATCAAATTTTGAATAACGTACATTTCCACCTGAATATGGACATCTGGGAGCCCAAATTTGAAATTTGTTTTATTATCTATTTCATATTTTGTAAAACTTTAACCAATTTTTGATTAACAGACGCAACGATTTCAAAGCGAGCAATGACAAAACCGTACCAATTTTTTTTTTTATCTCCAGCGCGCGAGACCGTGTATAGGAAATTGTAAAGTTATGCTTATTTTAAAATTATTTTGCGATATTGCTGTTGAACTGAATTTTATGGTTTAAGTGCGAAGAAATATTTAATAAATAAAGGTAACATACAAAACGTTAATAAAACGCCCCTTTGGGCGTAATGTAAAATCTGAAAGCTTTAAGATTTTTTTATTTTTTATTTCCTTTGTTTTGCTTGTGATAATTATTTCGCTCAATTTCTTCATTTCTTTTTCTGTTAAACTATGCAAATCTATTTTCTTCAAGATAGCTTTTTCCAGTTTCTCTTAGATGGTCCTCTACGAAGGCATCCCTCCCTTTAAGCAGATAGCCCTCGAATGCTTTGCCATAATCAAATAAACCAAACCACCCGAATACTACGTGACTGAAATTTACAGATTCAAAACACATTATATTTAAAGAAGTTTAAGATAGCAACATGAAATGGTACCATAAAGAAACTTCCTCTCTTCTTATCGGGTAGAAAATATGAACAAATTATTTTAAAGAGTATAGAAATTCATGAAGAGATGTTATTGGTCTTTGGTTTAAATTCTAAGATTTCAAAATAAATTCAAACAAATTCTAAATTAGAACTGCCAAACCTTATTAAGCTTTTGGAGGTTTTTTTCGTAATAATCTTTTAATCATTTTTTAATAAAGCGGCATCTTCAAATGCACGTAAAGCATTGCTTTTTAATAAATTAAGGATGGAATGCGTTTTTTTCCCGAAGAAATACAATGGATTTGAAAGCAGTTATACATCAGTTTAAAATCAGGCAAAAAAGCAACCTTAGTTTGATATAGATTTTGAATAAACCACTATTGATTTCGAGTAACTCTTCTTCAGGACGTTAAAAAAGTTTTAAAGGTGTGACAAATATTTTATACTTTAATCACTGGGCGAAACCCTTAGAATGTTTCCCCTCTAATAAGATGCTGGAAACATATTTTTAAATGATTCAGAGAAAGAATTATGGAACAAAAATTTTTTTTGGCCAGATATGATATTAAAATGCTAATAAAATATAAAATTTAACTACAGACATATGCTAATTTCAGAATTTAAATATTGAACTAATTATTATTATTACTAAACGTTTGAGGCGATTTAAATTTAACAACCATTTCATAAATCATTACATATACAACTCACGCCGCTATTTATTAACAAATGATTAGTTAAGCTGTTATAAATTTCAGTATTTATATTTCACTGAATAATTTTGTTTCTGTAAAGTTATATAAGTTATAGAAAAATAGTACTGTAATATAGTTAACTGGAATAATATCGAAGCAATGTGCAACTTTAACTCACAGTTAATCATAGAGCCCTTACAAAATATATCGAAGAGTTATAATATATTTAACAGAAAATTCTGTTAGCAGTTTACGTATACTCCCGTATTTTCAAGGAGAAGAATTCCGAAGAATATATTCATCTCATATCAAAAATTAAACATTCAAGGCACACCATAAAAAAGTGAATAATGAAAAAATAAACATCATTATAAATGGAGAAACTAAGTTATTAAATTATTACAATATCATCTGCTACCACTACTGTTGTCTCACGACTTTTCTCTTCCCTTTTTGTATTTTCGGTATAGATAGGATGTTATTGTACTTAAGGTTTATTATAACAATTTTTCCACCTTTCTGCAATAAACAAAGTTAAATTTTCATTGGACTTAATTCATTCTTATCAGCGTATCAGGAGTTGACAGTTTGCGAAAATGCTCACAATTTTCTTGTCAGATCAATGATTGTAGAAGGTTATATACGAACAGGTAATTTCAAGGGTACTGTTATTCAAGTTATTAGGGCATTATAGCCCTGAAGGTTGGCTTTTCTCCAATTTCATTGCCAAAAGCAATTGACAATATCTAAACTTTTGAATCAGCTGTACTGGGTTCCGAAACCCAAGTCTAACGATCAATTTTATCGTCATTTTCATGAGATTGTCCTTAAGCAGTGATGACTTCCGGACTTTGAACAATTCATTCGACATCTACCACTTATAGTGATCACCTGTATTTCAAGGCCTATACTTATAATTTTAACCATTAGAAGCAACTGATACCTGCAGCTAGAATGTTGTTTAAAAAGAGCTTGATTCACAAAATTGCAGAAGCATAGAACTTCGGAGAAACTGTAAAGAATACAAACAGCTTCAAATTTTGCAATGTTTTGTTTAAATCAAATTTCATCAAAATGCATAAAAAGAGCGTTTGCTAAACCCACGCTGAAAAAGAATTTCATAACCTAGGGTTTTTCAGACATTCTGATCCTGCAGTTTATTTTTGTCTCAGAAAATATTCTTCAACTTACTGAACAGCTTATCCATTAAAACAACGCTGCTCGTGAATAATGCTTTATTATGAGATAAACGTTTATAATAAACTCAATAGTGTAATTATAATAATATACGTAATAGCAGCTAATAGTCCAATGAATAATAGGCATATGCTATTAAGAAGAAGTTTTACAAGGAAGTATCCCATTTCCTCCATGCGTGCTCTCTTAATTCACGTGGCAACCTGTCCAGCTAGCAATTGGAAGATCCTGGTTCAAATCCCACTATCAAAGTACGCTCGATTTTCATGTTTCCTTGTGTGAAATGTCTAATGGCCTCCACAGTTTCAGAAAAACAATACCAGTCACAGTATTTCCCGTATCTCAGGACCTCTATTTCTCTCTACAAATTAGCAGAACTCATTGGATTTCGTGTATCATAACTAATTTTTAGAAGCTAAAACTAAGGCGAAGAAACAAAAGTTTAAAAGCTAAACTTTATGCTTAGATGATAATTATTTTTACAGTAGCTAAAATATTAACAAATCATTTGACATAGCACTCATTATGCATGATAAATGTTATTTTGTATTCTAATTATAGCACATGTATAGATTTTATCACATGCATTGGATTTTATCAATATGCTGCAAGAAAAATCATGAAGACTTTATAAGGTATTTCTCCCACCTTCCTAGCGTGCCTTCGTGGTGTAGTGGTCAGCACACTGAGCCGGTATTTCAGAGCTCCGTGGTTCGATTCCCGGCGAAGGCGTTTGCTATTTTTCATCTCTCTGACTTTTCTAATTAACCTAATGTCTCTACAACTTGTTAATCGGTGCCGCCACACTATCGTTCATGATCATAGAGGTTTAATCATGGACATATTGTTGCCTCGAAACAAAATTAAATTTCAAATATATAAGTACAGTTATTTTATGGCTTTGATGCGCGAATAGTACTTCCTAAAGGATAAGGATATGGAAGGGGGGATCTGGGCAGTATGCCTCTACTGAACGGTTACTTAGTATAGCACCACGTCCTCCATGATCTGGAGAACCCTTAAGACAACATTAATTCAAATATGTGAGTACGTAATTGAAAATGAATGCTTGATTACAAACGATTGTAGTATACCTTCACAGTAAAAATTGGTGCATTTGTCTAAATAACAGGTTACGATACATTTAACCTAATACGATGTAGTTAAGAAGTGATATGTGTTATTGCATAAGACTTCTAACAAGTGATATATAATTATACTTAATACATGATACAGCGCGAGGATAAAGACAAGTCAAACATATAATTATAGAGAGATTATAGTATGATAAAAATACAGTACAGTATGATAAAAATACAGTATAGGATGATAAAAATACAGTACAGTATGATAAAAATACAGTAGTTTACAGAAGATTACAGTAATAATGTTTGCAGTAAATTACACTGAAAATATTATGCCATACATACGACATGATACAGTTTAAACAATTGTAGTATACCTTGGCAATAAAGATTTGTTGCATTTTGTGTAAATAACAGGCTACGATACATTTAACATAACTTTCTAAAGCTGTATTTTATTCTTCTATTCTGTTTTCGGCTTAGTTATTTTACAATGAAATTTCTTCTGCGAAATCGAATTTTATACTGGCTGGCGGATGTATAGAAACAGGACAATTGCTTTAAGGTGTGGAGTAAAAACAAGTTTCAGCAGTACGCACTCTTATGCAACATTTCAAGTAATAGCTTTAAAAGCGCATGACACTGCTGAATCACCGAAGCCAGAATAACTAGTCAGAAATGAGAATATTCAGAAA